GTGGGGATTTGCTCGCAGAACTCACCTCGAGGGAATGCGCCAACCTGACAGCAAGCCAAAGGGGTTGCAAGTGGGTGCGAGTGCTAGGAGTGAGATGGTGAGGCCCGCTTATACCGCTGAGCACTGACTCAGCAGGGCGCCCCGGGGGATTTGTGATACGTGTGCATATCGGGCAGCTATCGGGCACTGTCACACGGCCTTATATGCTAGGCTACTGTGCGAGGCCTCGCACATGATGGCTTGACTGCAATCAGGCCAGGGATCTCATTATGGGCTAAACAAGGTTATTATAAAGATCTAATTACACAAATTTCTTGCAAATTCATTTTGCAATTGAATGGTGCCAAATTTAGGTTTTCGCGTTTAGTTAGAGGATTCTAGGGTCCTTAAAGGAGCAAAAGAAATAGACCCTACGAAGCATTCTCGCTTCCGATGGTGTTTTGAGGGATTTTGAAATGAAGGGCCACGTTTAGTTGGAAAGTTGCAGCAAATAAGGTAATTTAGGGATAGTGGGGACTGCTGTCAAACATAGCTTTCAAAATAAGGCAATTTATGATCATGTATATGCCGATCTGTGCATGTTGCGTGAAATCTTGCAAGATTGCACAACTGTGGCTACGTCGCTTGATGAAAATGGTTTGGACAAGTATACAGTGATGGTGTTTGCATGGCGAAGAGACCTGGGGTTTCCATCCGAGAGGGTGTCAAGGATCTGTTGAAGGAACCCCAAGAATTCAAGTAGAAATGAGTATCCACTCTTGGAATATGGGTGCATACCATTCTGGCTGACGGGAGGATGGTGTGGGACATTGTAAGGTGGCGCAACCTCTTTGTGGCAGACTGGGGGCTGGCCTGTAGTGCGTTCGAGTTGGGAGTCTTTTGTTTGGTTTGGAAACGGCGTAGCTACATTTCAATTGGCAGGGACACCTACATTTATAGGCGCCCAGTACCCGGAACACAAGGGTCATGCCAGAATGGCCACTTGACATGCCCTATTCAAATGTTTTGTCTGTTCAAATTCCCCTCGTTCCCGTGTCATCTCTTGTTTCATTACTAAACACTAAATGGGCCGCGCCACATGCGGCAACGCCCAAAGCAAACTATTGTGCTTAGCAAGCACGGGTATGTACCCCATGGGGCTATCCATTTCCCAATAAAGTATCTAATATACAGCTATAGTACATCATTTCAATATACAATGCTCCCACAGCTTGCCGGGCTTCCCGTGTGGTGCTAATACACAATGAGCCCCTCACAGCCATGCCTTGGAAGAGAGCAAATCACTTGTAGAACATGTTGCTGCAGGAATGGGATGTTGCCCTTGAGTGTGACCTCAAGGTCTGTGATATTATCAAAGATGTGACTGTAACCTTCGAGATGCTTTTCGGCGTGAGAAATTTCCCCCCAATCCTCAAGTACAAGATTCTATATGGACTTGAGTCCATGGCTTATAGTGGCGTGGAGCCTTTGTGGCGAGTGTTGGCGTGAAATATGGCTGCGGCATCTCTGCGAATGGAGTCAAATATGACCGTCCTTTGGCGGGCTAAGGCGATGGTCAGAGACAAGCTGTTGGCAGCAAAGGAGCCGGTCGTGGGGGACTCGTTTGTGCAAATAATTCAAGAAAAAACCATGGTGGAAGCCTTTGGGAAGGATGAGAAATTGAAGGCCCTTCGGCAGGAGTCTTAACAGTTGGAAGACATCATTATTGTATTGGTTCCCATGGCGTTGTGACACCCTCCATGGTGGAGGCTATCAATGAATACCATAGAAGACAGCACAAAATCGAGGGGACGATGACCAAAGATGAACTGCGAGTCAGAGTTGTGAATTGGCTTGCCAAGAAGGGGTCTCGGACCCTTGTCGTCAAGCCAGGAGACTCGCCTAGAGCAGCCCACCATCCATGAGGGAGTGGCAGAGTGGGGCGCATGGGAATGCGGATTCCATGCTAGATTCAACGAGATTGGGACCAGATCTAATAGATTTGCTAGCAACAACATCTTGAGCAGCCTTGTGATATATGGAGCGCACTGTTCAGTTATCGTTTTCAGTAAAAAGGCTTGCCGCAAGCTTGTTCTATGATTTCTCTAAAATTTCATGATGAGCACAATGTGTTAGGGACCCCAGATACGAAATCTTCCAAGTTAGCGGTGGCAATATGGCAGCATTAGGATTCAGCAAAACTTTGAGTGGAAAAATATAATGAGAATCAGTGTCCAGTGTGTGCACTATGGAGCATGACTGGACAGTAGGTGGAAGATTTGGTTGGATTTGGGCAGTCTAGAGGGGCAGTGCAGCGATGAGACTTTGAGTGCTGGAAAGTTTTGATGCGAGTAACAAGAGGCATTACAAGAGGGACAACATGGAATATTCTGGGGAATATTCTGCGGTGTGTGTAGATGAGAACGATCACGAACTTTTATATAATCAGGCGAGCTGGCAATGTAGGCCGCTCTCGGTCTATAACACGCTTTGGTTGCGGCCGCTGCAGCCAGCCAAGCCTCCTCACCAGCTGAGGAAAGGACCTGCAAGGCAAGTGAACGTCCCTTTTGAGGGAGAAACTCAGGGCGGGTGTGTGACATGCAATTAACTATCTTGTTAATATGTTCCAACCAAAGACGCCATTGGGTGGGCTGGGCCGATGATTCAAATCTGTAGCAGTTGAGTTCAAACGGGGTTCTAACCCCTCTAGTATCTTGGTCAGTCAAAGTGCGTAGCTTCCAAAGTGCCATACACTTGGCGCCCTTGGACTTTGGCGGGCTTTGGCAGGGATGAGGCGGGGTGGCTATTTAGGCACCCCCCTCGGTCCCCCTCCTATCTTGTTTTGTACCGGGCTCTCTCGCCCTAGAAAGTGGAGCTCGGTTGAGTTGAAGAAGATCAAAGGGAGGTCTGGAAGGAAGTACTGGAAAAGGAAGCTGACTCAGGGCTGAATCACGGGAGAAAAGTGGCGCGAAGTATGTGCGCAGCGAAAGGGCTCCTCACCGGCTGAGGAGAGGACTTGCGAGGCCAAGTGAGCCTCCCTTTTGAAGGAGGGCTCAAGGCCGGTGTGTGACATGCATAAGACGACCACTAGGAAAAAAACAGGCCAGATGACACAGTCCTGACACGGTCTGCTTAAAATCCAACTGTGTACTTTCGGCAGATGTGGTCCCAAAAGTACACAGTTTGTACACACATTGACACAGCTTCAACAGTGTACCCTCAAACAACTGTGTAGACTACACGGTTTCCTAGGATGCACGCTTAAGACTGTGTCAATGTGTGTACTAACTGTGCAATTTTGGGACCACATTTGCCGAAAGTACACAGTTGGATTTTGAGCAGACCGTGCCAGGACTGTGTCATCTGGCCTGTTTTTTACTAGTCGACAGGCCTGTGATTTTCTGGCCTTGTCGTTGCGCTGAATCGACTCCTTTTGATGAACTTCAAGACCATCTTTCACTGCTGCCCTCCGGAGAGGTCTGGCCATGTCGAGGCCATCATTTTCGTACCTCATAAAGAGTGCTGCTAATGGTACTGTGTTGCATTCGCTGGAAAGGCTGCTTCACAGGTTCGTGTGTCCAAAAATGTGACACAAACCAAGTCACGAAGTCGTACTGGAGCCGCAGGAGGAGACCTTCGAAGGAGTTGCAAAGTTAGCAGATTCGCACAATCGAAACGGAATAATATTTGAAATTGAATTCAGAAACGCGGTTCCCCCTTCTCGATTACCTAGAACAAAAAAAGAGGCGCCCAGAAAACGGCGGCCAGTGTAATCTTACCAACATATGCCACAACGGATCTCCAATGAAATTGCTCGATAAACCAAGCGCAAGTTGACTTGATCTCATCAGTCCGATCGAACCAATAGTCCAATCAATTGGATCAGTCCGACCCTGAGACATCTAACAGCTGCCCACACCCCGTCCCTTGAGGCCAAAATCACGCAGCTGTCTACCCATTCAGGCTCCATGGTCTTTAAATGGTCATTCCCCTTCCTACATTGCTCCAAGCAGCGGCCCACCCATTTAGAACTCATCGATGGACAGTGCACCCTCTTCTCTACATTGCGTTGAGCAGCGATCAAACCATCTAGAACTCAGATTCTGCATAGTGCAATCTGCGCCGCTGCCATGGCTTGAGGCAGGGGCCAGCTCATGTTAGCCCCAATTTTTAAGAGTGCCATGCCACTCCTTGCACGAATATCTACCAACAAACCGCTTTTCGGGACTAAAGGAGTATAACAAAGTGCTGCCGGCTGCATCGTTGCATTGCATCGCCAATCTGTCCCAAAATTGATACTGGCCGCAAATGTGAATGTTGCAAATGGAGCTTTTTCCAGCGTGGTGAATTCCTCAAAGACAAACCAGCCTGCGTCGGCGACTAGGAGGTGGTATCGCGAGTGTGAAAAACGAAGTGCTAGAACAGCATATGTCAAGGCCCTCAAGGAACGGAGGCTCAAACGGCACCAGAATCCCTATATCATGGGCTGTCGCTCCATTTCCATCGTCCTATTGGCGTTTCATCCTTCCAGCAGGACCGTCAGAAGCTCCTACAGTCAGATCTCAAAGATCCAATTTAGGTAGGCCTACACTATTTCCTGGTAAAGTGGCATGCCCTGCCTGCAAGCCTTGCCGAAGGCCATCCCCCCTCGCAGCTGTCCACTTCCCAACTTCAACGTTTCAGAGCTTCACGGAATGCAGAATTGGTGCCAGGAAAGAAGCGCCACGCACTGCATTCACTGTCCCTGCCACCAACAGCAACCGCAGCCTTCCGCCTGCAAGACAGCCGATCACACTTGCGCCAAACGCTGCACCTACCCAACATCTCAGACGCAATCACTGTGCCTCGCGCCCTGACTGTGCCCAGACGCAACACTGCCTCCGCCCAGAACGCCCTTCCAATAGAATGCAACAGCCGGCCAGCCCCTCCCCGAACGAAAAAAGCAAACCAAAAAATACGCCAAACAGAAAAACAAAGGAAAAACAGCGGTGCACGCGACTGGATCCATGGGACCGGCCCTCTCAACGACTCCTGGGGGCCGCGCCCGCCGGAGATGCGTCCTCGTTGAACACCCCGAGGCCGCGGGCCTGCGGGCCCAGCTCAGCCGACCCAGCCTTCGCCAGCGACGTCCGCGGGGTGGGCCTCACCGGAAAGAGCACCTCGCTGGGCACCCGCCGACACACCAAGCCACCCCGCGCTTCACAGCACAGATCAGCCTCGCGTCCGAAACCCGTCGCCTCATCTATCCGCGAGTCGATGCCATCGATCCGGCCGTTTGCGCCATGACTGAAGCCGCCGCCGCTGCCCGCATCGGCCGATGTCGTGAGCGAATCCAGTGATCGTCGACTTTGGTACATGTTGGTCAATGGCTTGGCCGATGCTTCGGCCCGGAAGCCGGCGGTGGTCTCGTGGGGGCGCGGCGGGGCCGACGGTTCCGCCGACCGGGCCTCGGGTCCCGAAGCCTGGGACGCGGCCGATGCAATCTCTTCCCAACCCGAGCTCCTTTTGGCATCTTCCCACTTCACTGGATCGGCGCTGTGGCCCGCGGTCTTCAAAAGTTGGCCATCCGTAGTCGACGACTCGCAACCAAACGCGTGGCTCAAGTCCCCCGAGGACAGCAGCAGGTCAATCACGTTCCCCCCACCGGCGGAAACTTTGCACCGAATCGACCACACTTCACAGTCCCCGGGCGCCGATAAGGACTGGCCAGAGCCACGGGCAATCGGGCATTCCGATCCTGCCAGATTCTCGCGTAAGGCTGTGGGCATGCTGGACACCGATCGGATGGGGTCCGGCGGGCCTGGGGCGTCTGCGGGGGGCCCCTGAGGCCCAGCCGCAGCCGAACCTTCCAGGCCTCTCGGCTCCGAAGCTTCCGCGGCCGCGGACGGGGCGGTCGCGATCTCCGGCAGGCTCTCGTAGACGGTGGACGGCACGCTGGCGACCGACCGGATCGACTCCCGGGACGCCAGGTAGTCCGCGGGAGGGCAACCATCATGCCGAAAACTTCCATTTAAAATTCCCTGCAGAGTTTCTCTGCCCGAAACTTCCGGCTTAAATCTTCTTCTTAAGTCCTCCTGCAGATATCCTCTGCTTAGGGCTTCCTGCTGAAATCCTCTGTTCAAAATTTCCCCCTGAAGTCCACCATTACAAACTTCATGCGTAGCATTCGGCAGACCCTCCTGGCGCCCGGACCCTTCTGCGGATGCGACCGCTGGCGCCCTCTCGCGAGCGGCGCCGGCTGGCATGCTGGCCACCGACCGGATAGAGTCCTCCGGGCCCAATGATCCAGAAAGGGGGGCCCGGGGGACCTCCCGCAGGCGCCTGGCCCAGTCCAGCGCCCCGGCCGACCGCACCCCCATCGACGACCTCGCCAGCAGCGACGACCGCTGCGCGGACAGAAACGCCGGCGCCCAGCACCGCACGCCACACCCACCCGACGCAGTACTTTGCGAACTGGCGCCGTCGCTCTCCGGAGATCCCGAGCGGGCCCTGGGGCCCAAAACGCGATCCACTTTATCGGGTTTATCGAATTTGTCGAGCTGTTCGATTTTATCGCCAATTAATTCGAGCCCATCTGCGGCCACCACGAATTTCAGCTCGACGTCCGTGGGTCTGCTCTGCTGCGGGCGGCAGCTGCTGCAGTCCCTGCGCAGGAAAGCGGTCAGAAGCCGCCGGCAGCGGCTTCCCCGCCCCTTCCCGCCCTCAGGTCCTTCAGCCCTGCTTTGCAGGACTGCCGGGAAAGATGCGCATCCTGGCGGCATGACGTCACACACGAGGACGCTTGCGTCATTGGAGCAGGGGCCACTGCAGAGGAGGACCGCGCCGACGACCAGGCGAGTGGCTGCTGACGTGGCAGGCGTGCGTCGGATGACGTCAGGGGCCTCGCGCCAGTGGATGAAGTTCCAGAGGCCGTCGGAGCCGATGATGATGCGGGCGCCGGTGAAGGGTAGGAGGGCCTAAGGGCAACGGTGGTGCTTCAATGTATTAACGCTCATATGCATACATTCATGCACATATCAACGCATGTATCCAGGCTTTTTTTATGTTTACGCTTACGTTTTTACTTTTATGTTTTTATGCGTAAAAACTTAAGTCTGCAAAAGGGCCTATTTTTACGTCCATTTTTACGTTTTTACGGCTCCCTGGGACACCCAGGTTACACGATGAAAGTTGCGTACAATGATCAGTCCTGCTCCATCTCCAGCACCGCAACACAATGTCCACCTCGCCCTTGGCAAGGGTGATGATGGCGTTTAACAAAAACTCGTCTTCTGCCTCTTCCCGGGTGTCTGGCTGCCCCTGTTCGGACTCCGTAAGTCTGTATGTACTGTCCTTATGTACGCCGGGCAGTTTTTACGTTGTAATTACGCACTTTCACGCATTCTACGCGTAAAAGCGTAAAGAATACTTTTACGCATAAAGACGTAAATACGATCAGTTTTGCGGAGTACAAACCAAGCCTGCATGTATCGATGCACATCTTAGTGCACATATTGTACTGCATAGAACACTACGAAGACGAAACAGCAGAAAGCCGAAAACACAGTGGTGTAAATAGATAAAATGCAGGAAGGGGGATACAGTAGAAGAACGTGGGTGCATGTTGCTATGGATAGTATTGTCATTAGGTGTTAAGAGCTCGTTGATATGGGTAGAGATTAACAATACATAGTACAGATAGATGCTATTGTGTTGTTGGTTTCCCGTATTTTGCCGAAGTTGCCCATCATTCAGCAGTTCAGGCGCACTGGCCACCGTTCAGTAGTTCAGGTGCCTTCGCCAGCAATATACGGTGAAAATGCACAAGATGCACCGCCATTGACTCCGGCTACACCAGCACTGCACGGCTTTCGGTTCCTCAACACGATTCAAACAAGTCAGCATGCTGCCAAAGGCGCAAAATTCTGCGGGTGTGGCAGCAAGACTGGCGCCCCATGCCCCTGTGGGACAGCACCCTTCCACGGAAGAGCCGCATCGTTCCTATATATGCGCTGACCGAACACTGACGCTTTCTTTCTATCTCATTGTCTGGGACCCTACATCGGCTACTGGTGGGAAAGGATCCCGTTATGATTTACCATTTGCAGTGGAGCTCCTTGCTTAGATCAGCTTGCAATACGTTGGAATTCATTTACTGCAGCATTCCGCCTTTACAAACAAATTTTCATGTCTGTTTCAACAAACTTTGCCTTTGTTTCAAAACCCTCAACCCTATTGCGACAACAAACAGCCACAAACCCCTTCTGCAACGCGCCCGCAAAGCCTCGCACTGCCCCTCCGCAACGCCGCTTCTCACCTGGTAGACGTGGGGAATTGGCACAATGTACCTCCCGGCGGCCTCGCCCCCTACGGACCTCGACACCGCCAGGCCCCCCGGCCAGCACCTGGTGCCTCCCTGCCTCCCTTTGAGCGCTGAAGGCGCGCTCTTGAGCTGCGCACCCGCCTGCACTAGACGCCTGCGCTCGGGCTCGTTGTCATCGATGCGGTGGCTGGTGGTCATCAGGACCGGCTCCTTGAGGCCCAGGTCCAGGATGGCCTGGGAGTCGCCCACGTTGGCCACGGTGAGCAGGTGGCCGCACAGGATGGCCAGAGTGACGGAGGTTCCTGAGGGCCGCCGACAGATAGCGCCAACTCAGTGCAATGTATATAGCTGTTTTGGGAAATTTGGTGTGATGTCCAGCATTCTTTGTACTGGCTCGCACTGTTTTTTTTTGACAGCATGACTTTCCTATTGGGAAAGTCTTTCTACGTCACGGTGTCAGACTACATGAAATGGAGAAGACATTTGTATGCCATAGAAAAGAGACTGAATAGCAACGGGATACCAATACAATAGGGTAATGACAATGATTCAGTAAGGGGTTACGACTGAACGCACGGATGCACTTCAACTTTTGTGTTCAATTGTGCCATCACAATTGCGAAATGTTATATGACAAGGCAGGGAGATAGTATTAAACCGCCTACATTGTCCGAGTAAAGCGGCGTCCATGATGTGTTCATTGAAATCTGATGTGCAACACAAGTTTTCAATTGTTGAGTTGTGTTCCCAGAGCGAAACATCAAAAAGATAGGCGCACAGATTTTGGGAAAGAGCTTGTGCGATGCTGGGTATTATATTGCACTGAAACGTGCTGTAGAGTGCTTACTTGGTTTCCTCATTTCTTCCTGAACATGTGTTAACACAGATGGACAAACACGCATCAAGCCGCTGCAACACCATTGACAATCACACAACACATGTTGTTACGGATATATTCGATGACTCAAAAGACTATTATTTTGAAAACATTATTAAAAGATTTACATTGAACACCTTAAAAGACTATTACTTAAAAGATTATTGAAAGAAAATTCAGCTATTACAAAGATTTTATTGGGCAAAATACATCCACTTTGTCCCCGGTACCACATGGCCCTTGGATCTGCGGTGCGATGCTGGGCCGCAAAAGTCCGGCCGTGCGTTGTCCAAACGCGATCGCCATAGCGTCAATTTTGACAAATTTAAGATAACGATATGGGAATCAAATGCAATCAAAACATTTTAGCACAATGTATTACAATGTTCGCCCGCGTAAGAAGCTCGTGGGCCTTTCACCTGACTGGTCATCGGGCTCGTCCATGCGGAATCGCTTGGCGACCACCGCAAACGCCTCCACGACTGCCATTCTCACGTCTCCTGTGAACTGGTGAAAACCTGCACCAAATCCCGCCATCGATTTGACACACACAGCTATCTACAGCAAACAAGCAGGCGGTCTATTCATGGCCCCAGCCAGTTCCATCTGCTTTACCACCCATTCTCCCTGCTGAAACTGTTGTCCTGTTTTAAAATGTTGGCTTGTCAGTTAGCTAATGTATGACTGCGTCCTAGACCTCCGAGCCAATACTCAAAGACGACGACACTCAAAGCAAAGCAGCGCTGGGGAAGCAGCACAGTGACATATTGGACACCTCATTGGCTGATATTGCTTTCATTATTCGCCATTAAATCTGACAGAATGCAGTTCCAATGAATATAGTTTGATGCAGTCCATTACCCTGAGGTTACTCCTCACGGCAGGTGCCAAAACAAAGTGCAAAATCTCCGCCCCACCTGCAGCGGCGCCAGGAGTTCTTTGATTACTTTCCCATCCGGAAAATTAAAGCAGTCCCGTTAGGCATAATTTTATGTATATTTTGTGGCGGTGTTTCCATGCAATTCACATTGCAGCGCCCGGATCTCTTTTACCATCTCGGCATTAACTCGGACTAAATTTGGTGGCACTGCATTGGATTAAAATTGAAACGATTTAAAGCCCGCCCCACGTGTGGCGTCCTCGCCCCTCACGTGCCTCCGTGGTAGCGCCGGCGCCTGGAATTGCTTTCATCATTTGCCATTTGGTACAATCCAAATCTATGCCATTAACTACTGCCATATGCCAACTCAGTGCTAAAACTTAAGCCGACGATATTGTGAAGGCGAAAAAATTAAGCAAGAAATTATGGGAGGAATGGTGCTAAATATGATGTGGCTGAACACGGGAAGTATGGTGCTAGCATACGGTGGATGAGTATGGGACATGGTGGTTACCAAAACGAGAACACTTGCAGTGAATGCTGTTTGGTTGCTGCGTTTGTGCTGCGATTCATCTGGTTACGGCTTGGCTTGGTGTGCCTGGGGGGCGACCGTATGTGAGAAATGTGGCTTTGCGTCTTACTGACAATTGAATAAATGCCACAAAACGCAGTTCTATTGAGTAATGCAGTTGCAACAGCGCCTCACCAGCTGTGTCGCCGTCCTTCACGCGTCTCCGCGGCAGAAGCGGCGCCAGGACTGCCCACAGGTTGGCTCGGAAGTACTTTGCTGCGCCGGGGCCCTGCCGGCCGTCGCACAGGCAGTACAGGGACCACAGCGGGCCGCCACGAACGGGCGCCACGCCCTCCCGGACGAAGACCACGCTCTGCACGGGGCACCAATTCGAATCCCAACTCAATTCCAATTCCTGCTTCCAGCGCGAATTCAATTTTAGTTCAAATATGATTTCTTTCCTATCGCAAATTCAATTCATGCCCCGCTTTTTGTAGTTCCAACTCAAAGTCGAAATCGAAGTCAAAAATTGAAAATCGTCTCTTTTTGGCTGCTTCTGCGCTCCTGCCATGATCGAGGATCTGGTTTGCAAAAGGAAACGTGGTTGTCAGGGAAATTAGGAGTCAGGCATGGGGGGAAGGCGACTCAAACGCTGGGCCGTCTCCTCTGGGCGGAGGTGTACAAAACGACAAGGCAGCCTTTCCTTCGGCGTGGTGTCGGAGATGATCGTGTCGTAGTTTCCAAGACTGGGCGCGGGACGGCAGGCGATGATGGCGAGGGACTGCACGCTGTGGGTGGGACGACGCTTGGCAGGCCGCGCGCTGGTTGGGCGCACAAGTGCTAGCAAAAAAAGTAGCAAAAACAGGCAAAAATACATGGTTTTGAAAGTCGTGTCACACGATTGAAATAGGTGAGAAAATGGTGTCTAATCGTGTGCTTATCGGATAAAAATGGGACCGAACCGGGTAGTAATGATTGAGTGGGAGTATACGATTTTCACACGTTTGACACGGCTTTACACGATTTTTACATGATTCGAAACGTAGTATTTTTGGCGGATTTTTAATTTTGAAGTGAATTGATTGGGGCCGTACTTGAGGTCACCTCTTGAGGCGGCACGAAGGCGTTTCGGACTTGGACAAACAGAAAGGGGGGAGCAACACAAGCAGAAAAGGGGGACTGCCAAACAACGGGAAAACACAGCGGTAAGATCCAAGCCTTGCGAGGCGTCCAGAGGCGGGCGAGTGTCCCGGGACGCCCTCCGCCAATTGTTGGCAGTTTGCGCCAAAGGGGGATCGGGAACGGACGGCTCTGTCGCTCACTTCAGCGGAGAGATTAACTTTCTCATTTGCGACACCTATCCGCTTGAAAATGGGGCGGTTTGGAGATCTCCAAAGGGTTAAGAGGGCAACGCCAGCTGCCCAGGGATCTCCGAAGACAACCGACAGACAGCGGCTAACGGGCGCGGTGGCGAACAGCTAAACGAGGTTGTAGACGCCTCGCGTCCAGGCTCCGCGACGCGCGATCGTAGATACGGTCCCGATACCCCCGCGATACAGTTGCGATACCCGGGGGGGCGAAGGCCGCCGGATCGAGCCCATCGGGTCCCGAAAGGGCGTGCGCCGCTCGGCGGAGAGCAAGCCTCGATTGACGATTCGACGACCCAAGAAGCCAGAACGGGTGCAGGGAAATCAGGCCCCCCGCCCCGTAGGGTTGTTTCCATGCCTGGTCCGCTTACTCACGGGGACCCGCGGGACAGCGAGCCCCCGGCCCCGCACAGAAACCGCGAAGCGTGGAAGGCCGGAATCGAATCACAGACGCAAGCGCCTGGTGGCCCTCCCGTCGATCGACCCCGCCCCACCCGCCAGTTCCCAAACCCAGCAGCCCCCCACCCTCCCCCAACATCCACCCGGGGCACCATCCCAGCCAGCCCCGCCAGGTTCCAGCCAACAAAAACAATCAGCGTTCAAAAAACCGTGGCCGGGGGCAGATGCCCGGCGCGCCCGGGCCCCCGCCCGCCCTCGCGGCGCTTCGAGACCCGCGCGCCACCTCCGACACCGCTCCGACACCCCCCGCAGCACCCGGGGGAAAACGCGGAAACCACCAACCCCGGATTTCCCACCAAGGACGTGCCGCGTTGACGCTTGGTGCCCCACCCTCTGTATCCCCCCCGCTTTGTCTCGATGCCCCAGCCACCTCTCCCCGAAGGCGGAGGTAAAGCTGGGTGTTCCCCGTCATTCTGTCTTGCGACACCCTCTCCTCCGGCTCTTCGACAATCCCATAATGACACTCGCTGCCCTCTCCTTCGCATCCGCCCCGCTTTGCCTGGAGGCTCTGCCCAAGTCTCCCTAAAAACGGCAGAAAAGTAGGATGCACCCCGGTATCCTGTATTGCAACTATCCACCGCATGTGGTTTCGACAATGTCCATGCCGCGTTGACGCTTGATGCCCTCTCCTTTGCATGCCCCCTGCTTTGTCTCGAGGCTCCAGCCGGCTCTCCCTAAAGGCGGAAGAAAAGTGGGACGCACCTCGCTGTTCTGTATTGCAACAATCTCCCACCCACCGACGCCCCACCCTCACCTCTTCCCCAGCGCTCTTCTGGCACGCGGAGTGGCGCACCTCCGGCGCGTCCGCCGGAGCCCCCCCCCGCGGCCTCGTGAACGACGCGACGCGCCGGTCCGCCCTCGAGCTCCTGCCCGAAGAGCTGTCATCGCCGCTCTCACAGCCGCCCGTCGACCTCCCCATGTTTCCACCCCGCTCGCCACCCCTGGCGCCAAAACGGGCCAAAATTTTGAACGCCGATCGACCCCTAGGGCCTCCGCTGGGCGCCTTCCCGTTCGAGCGGGGCGCTGAGCATTCCGACAGGGCGGCAGCAAGGGCGGGCAAGGTGGCTGCGCCCCGTCGCGGGCGAGCGGGCTTGGCCGGGATCCATTGCTGTCACTGCCTTTCGCGCAGTGCGATAACACTTATGCGTTACTATTGCGTGTACCGATGGTGTGACTCCACCAATCTGGCCGGCCAGGAGGCCGGTGCTGATGGGGGACAACGTTGGGGGCAAACATGGGACGGCCGCACAGTCGCACTGGGAGGCGGTTGATGGGCAATGTCAGCCGGCCGGGTAACGTTCGTGAGGGGAGGCTGGCTTCGGGATGGTGTGGGGGATTTGCCGTATTGGCTGGGGCCTGGGAGGTTTGACGGGGGTGGCTGCCGGCAGGATCTGGGCAGCGCTCAGCGGCCGTGCAATCAATCGATGCATCAATCTATGAATCCATCAATCAGTCTGTGGCTCGTCGCAAATTTCGTCCCGGGGAAAGGCGGGGGCTTGTGGGGGGTGCGAGATGCCGAGGTGCCGTCCAGGCGCCAGCCGGCAAGGGGCGAGTACGTTCTGTCAGCCCGCCTCCCCCCCCCGCGGTTACAACCAAATGCCGGTGTTATCCGTTACCTTGAATGGTAACGTGACAACGACAACAGATTGTCGAGACGGGGTTTTGATTGAGTTTGATTGTTGGACGCGACTTACGGCCATCCAGGGTCGAGCATTCTCGTACCTGCGCCATCCCCATGCCTGCCAGTACACTAGCTTGCCACTGCCGTCTGCCCGCGCATGCCGCCCCTGGCGGCATTACCAGACGTTGCTTGTCTCCACCGATATTGAAAACTCCCACTCAGACTCCGCACCTTCCCCTCCGGCGATAACAGCAGGTTCGCTCACGGCCATGTCCCCGTCTTATGGGCCTGTGAATGCACGCACCGTGACAACACAGCTCCAACGCAGTGGGCCTTGAGGAATGCGGGGCAAGCCCCGTTCTGCCATCATCATTGTGAGGGCGAGGGGGCGGTTAATGTATAATATGTGATATGTGGTGTTCTGTGACGGGGTGTAAATATGGTGAACATATTCTTATGGTGAATGTACATGGGGACAATGGAGACAGGAAGTGAGCATTAGTGTAATGATTGTTATTTAGCTCTTAAGCTCATACCGCAGTGCATCCGGTCACGGCTTTTCTTTCTGTGCCTGGGAGCAGCCGTGTGCGAGCGTGTGCGAAAAGTTTGATTTCCCTGATGAACATTAGCACGCAAAACGAATACCCTTGCACACGCTCACACACAGTCGTTCCCAGGCGCGGGAAGCAAGGCCACAACCAGATGCATCACAGGGTGAACGTGCTCGCTTAACAAATTTCACTGCAAGCATATCCATTCTCCGTCCCCATTTCCCCATATACATTTCACCATAACATAAACACGGTGTTCACCGTAAGTGCATTTCACCATCAATCACCATATATCACATAATTGCGTATTTATTGTCCTTTCGAACTCACAATCGTCATTGAGATGAAAGCCAAAATCTTCACACACAGCCGCTTCCAGGTACGAGAAGCAAAGCCGCAAACAGATGCATTGCAGCATGAGCGTCCCAGTCATACAACATCCGCTGCAACCATGTCCATTTCGTATCTCCAGTGTTCCATGCACATTTCACCATAACATAACGCCATATCGTCATATCCAGTTTCGCACCACAAACTCCATGTATCACATAATCAGGGCTGGTTTTCGCGTCTACGTTTACGTTTCTACTTTTGCGTTTTTACGTGTAAGAACGTAAATTTGCAAAAGGGCCTACTTTTTCGGTTTTTTCACGTTTTCACGACTCCCTGGGACACCCAGGTTACACCATGAAAGTTGTGTACAATGATCAGTCCTCCACCATCTCCAGCACCCGCAACACAATGTCCACCTCGCCTTTGGCAAGGGCGACAATGACGTTTAAGAAAAGCTCGTTGTATGCCCCTTCCAGGGCGTCTGGCTGCCGCTCTTCGGACTGTGAAAGTCTGTATGTATTGTCCTTATGTACACCAGGCAGTTTTTACGTTGTATTTACGTACTTTTACGCATTTTTACGCGTAAAAACGTAAAAACTATTTTTACGCGTAAAAACGTCAATACAGTCAGTCTGTACGGCGTAAAAACCAAGCCTGCACATGATCGCTTACCAGCTTCTTTCTTATCCTCACCATCATTATCAGGCTGGCCGCATTCTCGCACGCTCGCACACAGTCGCTCCCAGGCACGGGAAGCGAGACCGCAACCATATGCATTAGAGGACAAGCTCGCTGACCAAATAGTGTTCGCAGGAGAATGTTCCCAATTAGCCAATCACCGTTCCCCCATATTCACCATGCTTTTACCACCGCATTCACCATGTTTAGACACCATATTTCACATCACCCTCCCATAGCTACTCCTCATAACTTCCTCGCCCTCACAATCATCATGAAATTTGTACATAAAGAGACAAGGATGTGACCGGCAGCTTCCTATTTTTCCAGATAAAAGCGATTCCATGATTTGGTTATTGAATCCAATGTACAGCATCAACAAAGCCAGGATCCGTCAATTGCTAATTTGTGAGAAACGCCTGTCGATTTCTGTCGTGTTTCCGCCAGATCGGATGCTTCACTCGATGGAAAGCACTGTGCAAGCGCGACCTCAAATGAAGGACAAGACCGTCTGTTGCACCTGGGGCCCAAAAACCTCTACATTGCGCAACTACCTTCCAGAGTATTGGACACCGCTAACTCTTGGCGCATGTCCAACAGATCAGAAAACTTCCCCGTCCGATGCCCACAAACTATAGATTTAGCTGTGCGTTCTTGGCATCTGTTGTGCTGGTTTTCTTGTCGACACTGATTTCAACATCGATATCTTTCAATTTCGTTATCGATACCGATATCGCCATGGCAGCGATGTCACTGCCATGGCGTCTGTGACGCAGTGAAATGGCGACTTCGATTGTTGGGTCCTTTGCGTCTCCTGTTTAGCGACCCAGTACGGTCAACGCGTCAAATCTGCGACTCGCTACGAGGGATAGCACAAGTGAACTACCGCTACACAAATTAAGCGAAACTGAAGATAAGAGTGCTCCCTGACATTTTGTGAAAGCAGTTGTCTGTGCCATGGAACTCTCACGCGAATCGATTGATCAATCTTGGTTGTCGGTGATAGACCATTTCAATGACATGCTAATGTCCCATATTACTGATGTGGTATTTTCATTTAGATTTTTTTGTTTTTGCCACGCAGGGACAACGTGGCGCCGAGGGTTTTGTGCAAATTTTAAAATGTTTTACTCAAAGTGCGAAGGTTGTCGACCACATGCCGGAAGGGCTCTGCTTAATGCATTAGTGGGCGCTGGCGTATACCGCGCCGCGGTTGATGTGTCTTCATTCTTCTTCATTCAACAAAGTTCCATTATTAGAATTAATGGAAACCATTAACGGGGAGTCTGTGCGAGGGGCTTGCACTCTGCGGCATCGCGGGGGAAGTCTTGGTCTTTGCGCTTACAACAAAATTTCTTCGTTACGTTTTATGCGCGAAAGCTGGTAAACACAGAACAGGCTATTTTACGCATTCTTGCGGGGCGTTGAAACACCCATATTACATGGTGAAGTGGCAGACAGTGATTAATCCTGCGCATCCTCGCGCACACGCAACGCACCGTCCGCCTCGCTCTCTGCGAGTGCCACGGCGTCGTCGAACAAAATGCCACTTTTCTCCCACTCCAGCGCATGTGGCTGCCACTCCCAGACTCCAATTCTGCATGTACGTCATTATTATGCACAGGTCCTGTCTTTACGTGTTTTGACGCGCGAAAACGTAAATGGTTTTTTACGTGCTGTACGCGTAAAAGCGCTGTGTTTAAGCAATAGAAGATCTTTGCGGTCTTGAACAATCTTAAGGGGGGGAGCCGTGGTGTGTCGCTGCGCGGTACTGGGGCTAGTGGGCAGAGGGTACGGCTGGACAACATAAGAGTGTGTGTCCACCAGCTGGAACCCGTGCCTTGTGTGCAATTTGAGTCTTCGCCGTTGGACCGCGCAGCTGTTTCCGTGTCTTTGTCAACTCCTTGTCTCACGCTGACCACCGCATATTGGCCGCGCTTTGGTGAACCACCGCTGGGGCATGATACCGCAATGGTGCCGCGAAGATGAGCAATGATAGCCCATCTTCTGGGTGCTGAAAGCGAAAAGGCGAAATGATAATAAGTGCTAAGTCTTACACGCATTTCCCCGAAAAGGCATCAATGCTGCAGATCGCTCAAGCTGCTCAAATGGCTGGCCCGTTTCCAACACACTAGGTAAAAAGGTACATATAACACGTGTTCAAGCGTGTACAAAATTAAGTGTTTGGGTCATTTTCGTGGATTTAGCGCGCAGAACACTGATAAAATGCATACATATGTGTTAGCATAAAATGTTATTTCGTCCTTTTTTTAGTGACAATGGAGAGTTTGCTTTCTGCCGTTTTCACTATTTAGAAGGTGACGCACTGTGCTGTGTTGTCTTAACATCACATGACAGAGCCACACCGACACTGGAGAAACGAGGCGCTTTGGGGTCTTTCGCTGTTTGCAACTGACTTGAAGAAAATTAGGAGCAGTCCACACTGGGCACATTCTGGACAGAGAGCGCCGTCACCTCTCGAGGGATTCCAAGCCGCCTCGCTCAAGTTTAAGTTGAAGTCCTTAAAGTCTAATTTAAACGCCACCGTCTGCAGAGAACTCTATTTTTGCGCTGCCATCGATGGCAGATATCTTTGACGTCAATCTCACGCCAGGTGGTGCAATTGCTGGGATTGCGGTGGCACCAAAGCAACTGTGATGGCATCTCTCAAAGCCAAAATGGCAGTTTTCTTGGCATCGCCAAAAGCGCATTTCTACTGGTGTGCAAAAAGTAATTCCAAAGCGAGTTATGTAGAGATATTTGAGTGAATTCCATTTCTGTCACACGCGCACATTGCCACCTTGGATCTAGCCTCTATTAGAACTTCCACCATTACTCGCCGCCACTGCCCCGGGTTGCATCTGGTATTGTCATCTACATTGGCACCTGCATCTGCACAGGAAATCGGGATGAGGGTACAGCAGTGTTGCCGGGCCTTGCCACAACGGGTTTGCTGATGTGTTGCCTGTCAATGTTTCCGAAATATCCATGCGCCAACGTCTTACAAGCAACAATAGCCGCTATTTGAATGAATTTGGGGATTGATAGTGTGTTATAATTCATGCCCCATTGCCATCAATGTCGTTGGGGCAAAAATGCAGGTGCAGCGTGGATATCTGTGAGCGCTGATACCTAAACTTTCCAGCACCATTGACAGAAAGCGCATCAACAAACTCGCTGCATCAAGGGCCATCAACGTTGCCGTACCTCCACCCTGATTTCCGGATGTGTACCGTTAGTTTTGCGTATGATCCCTGATGCACTTAGCCAGGCTTGGTTTTTACGTTTACGTTTACGTTTTTACGCGTAAAAACGTAAATTTGCAAAAGCACCTATTTTTACGGCTAGTTTTACGTTTTTGCGGCTCGCTGGAACACCCAGGTTACACCATGAAAGTTGCGTACAATTATCAGTCCTCCGCCATCTCCAGCACCCGCAACACAATGTTCATCTCGCCCTTGGCAAGGGCGATGATTGTGCAACAAAAGCTCGTTTTCTGCTCATTCCAGGGAGTCTGGCTGCCACTCTCCGGACACCGTAAGTCTGTACGTACTGTCCTTATGTACACCGGACAGTTTTTACGTTGTATTTACGTATTTTTACGTATTTTTACGCGTAAAAACGTAAAAACTATATTTACGCGTAAAAACGTAAATACGTTCAGGTTTTACGGCGTAAAAAACAAGCCTGCACTTAGCGACATCGGCATCATACTGTTCGTGCAACGTTCACGCATACATGGCAGCGGCGACTTTCGTACATATAACGCATTGTATGCATATCGCGTGCATCATACTGAGACCACTTCGCTGTTACTTTCCCATGGCATGGAGATCGCCGCACTTGGAGAGCCTGCGCGCAAAGCAACAGAAACCGTTACTTTTTATCCCCCACAGCTTGCAAGCCAGGCACGCATAAATGTCAGTTCTTCACCAAACTGCTCCTCGACGCCGGCGACCGCGGTTCCTGGGTGGCCTACACACATGGCACACAGAAATTGCGAGCTCCTCACGACACGGCTCCTCCACCGCCGGCGATTCCGGCGCCTCGGCAGCCTGCAAACAAAGCACACAGAAGCTGCCAATTCCGCATCTGCCGCCTCCTCAATTGTGGGCGGACGGGGCGCCTGCACGGCCTGCACTCAAAGCAGGCCAAAACCATCAGCCCCTCGCAGGCTGTCCTGTCCACTGCCTCGAAACGTCCTCCGTGGGGCTGGCCTCTTCCACGTGATCAGCGGCGCTGATCTTGTCACGCCCTCATCACCCTATTCTTTTTCTAAGTCGCGAAGGGTGCGCGGGGTCTTGTGCGTGGCGGCACTCCTCTCCTGTTTTTGTTGCACGTGGGCGGGTCGGACACACTGGACGCTTCCGAGCGCCTTCGGACACTCGGAAAGTGTCCGGGGACGCCCGGAACCGTCCGAAGCCTCGGAAAACTTTTCAGTAGCCGCTCAAACACGTCCGCCCACTGCGCGGATGTGCTCAGACGTGCTCGGACGTGTCGCAGCCGCTTGGAAACCGCGCGGACGCCTCTCTTTTCCCGTAGTGGAACAAAATCTGCAGCCGACGCAACCACCAACGTGTCGTTCATCCACGTTAATGGGTTCCTCAATGAGCATTTTGCTCCAATCACCAAGAGGCTGCAAACGAGCGTTGTCCGACTCCTCCAGAGCCTCCCCGGCACAGCGCGGCAGGCTGCGGCCACCACCCCGAAACTTAAGCCAATGCAATTGGTTTCTGTGTGGGACGGATGGTGCTGCCATTGATGGATGCTGCGCGGACATGAGCTCAATTTTCTCGTTTCCTTCGTTAGAATAAACATAGAGACAGGAGCGATTGCTTTGATTGCTGATCTGCCAGGGGGCCCCTGGAGTGCCGAACCTTTCTTCTTCCTTCGTGAGACCGAGCATTCTTTTGGATTCCAACAATTTGAGGCTTCGCATCGCCTTGCGCTCTCTCGCTAGTTGGCGCAAGGCCCGCAAGTCTTGTGACAGGGCGGGGGAGGCACCTGGACACTGAATGTGATGCAGCATTTCGGGAAAAACAGGCCCGTGCAATTCGTGTACATGCGATGCATCCGCAAATGGCGAGCCGCACTCCCCCCAACCGCCAGTCAGGCGCGCAGTACACCAAAGCCGCACATCTCCCGTACATCCCTGCCCCGTTACGTTGCGAGCCCGCAGATGTCCCATCCACCCCCCCCTCCCCAGTACTTTGCCAGTACTGTACTGCAATTTGTCACCATTTGCCTGTACTTAAGCCCCCGCATTCGCGCACTACCCATATGACCTTGCGAGCCCGCAGACGCCCACCCCACTCAACGCCCACCCAGTACTTCGCCAGTATTTGCCAGTACTTTATGACTAGGTTGCCAGTACTTAAACCCAGTCCGACGTCCGTGGCCCCCCATTCGCGCACTACCCGCGCCATGCCGCGGCTTAGTTAAGGCCAACCTTGGCCCCCCTGGCGCCTCGTCTTCGGCGCGGGCCTGATGGGCCCTGGGTGCCACACGCGACCGGCGCGCCGTCCCCCCTGCCGCGGCCGCCGGCCCCGCGGACCCGCAGAGACTGACCCACGCCGCATCTCCGCGGTCAACCGGACGTGGGTCAGTTAAGCGCGGTAAATTTTTCCCCTCGTGCGCGCCCATTGCGTGAAGTCTATGTGGGGCGGATTTTTCTAACTCGTTTAGTTTTTTGCTGCCCGTGGGGAGGGGGGAGGCCGAGAGGGTGGGGGGGAGTGGGTTGCGTGCGTGTGTGGCGCATGGGAGGTTGTCTGGAGGCGGTCGCAGCGATTGCCCAGCGGTGACGTCTGAAGAAGGTGGGTTGGTGGGGACGGGCGGGTGGGAGTGGGCAGGATTTGTTGCACGCAGAGAAGAAGGCATGTCATGCACAAGGGGTCCCCTCTGGAGCGAGTGCACGCCAGTCCCTGTGCCGTCCGGCGAGACGATAATGCAGAGGCTGCCAGGCGGCTGGGCGCACGAGACAAGCGCCACGACGAGCAAGCAACGGGCGGGGCGGGGGCTGGGGGGTGGGAGGGGGGAAGGCGGGGCTTCATTTTTCCCGGGGGGAGGATTGCGAAACCGGGATATGGGTCCGTGAAGAGGCCCGTTCCGTGTGGGGAGCGCGGGCGATCGGCGCGACGAGCATCCGTTCTGGCCGGGCGGTACGGCCCCGCGCCCCGCGGCCTGTAATGAATGCGCCCTGCCCCGCCGCGGACGATCGCCCCGGCAGCTTTGGCGCCGACTTGGAGAAAGTCGGAGCGCTGCGGGTGCTGCCGTGCGCGCATCCCGTTGACCGTGTGGTGGGAGGGGATTGGGAGGCTGTGGGGAATCGGCAGGATCTGCCGGGCCCCAGCGACCGGCGCCGGCGGGCCAAGGGCGCTGGTGCGCGCTGTCGCGGGGTCGCTGTGCGGCCGGCATGTGGTTAGGACTCACGCGAGGATCTGCTGTGGTTTTGTGGCGCGATGAGGGGTTTGGGCATTGGGCTGCGGAGCGCGTCGGTTGGGCAATGGGCGGGTGGCCGTTCGGACGCTTTCGCTGAAATGTGGGAAGTTGCGCTTGCGACGATCTCGGCGGTCGGCGGAAGATGGGTGCCAGCGCGAGAATCTGTTGTGGTTTTGCGACGCTGTCTGGGCTTTGATGATTGGGCTGCGGTGCCAGTCGGTTGGGCAATGGGTGGGCTGGTGGCCGGCCGGCACTTGCGCGGAAGTGTGGGGAGGCGGCGCATGCGACCCTCTCGGCGGTCGGAGGATGCTGGGAATCTGCGTGAGAATCAGTTGTGGTTTGTGGCCCTGCTAGGGCCCTGACGATTGGGTGGCAGAGCCAAATTGGGGGCGCAATGGGTGGCCTTGTGGCCGTCCGGACGCTTTCCCGGCAACGCGCGTGGCGGAGGGCTGGGAGACTCGCAGCGGTCGGCGGGCGCTGCGCACCCGCGTTCGAATCCGTGGTGATTATGCGGCGCTATCTGGGCTTTGGACGATCGGGCAGCAGGGCATTCGGCATGGCAGGGTGGCCGTCCTGGCTCTTTTGCGGACAGTGTTGGGCGCGGGGCACGCGAGACACTCCGCGGCGACGGGAGAGGAGCGCCCCGCGACGGGCAGGCGACTGCCTGTCGAACGCATCGGCGCAAATCTTCAAACTTTGAATCCTTTTGATCTTTTCGTGCCGCGAGAGATGGCGTGTTATGTCGTTTCCCCGGATTGGGACCGCGGGGCTGTTGTGGGCGGGGAGGCTGTGGGTCGAGGAGGGACGGCCGTGGGCCCCTCTTAGGCCATCCTGGCGCATGGCAATGGAAAATCCTTGTGAGCCACGAGTCGTGCGGCTGGCAGCCATTCAGCACATCCCTGCAGTGAGCCACCAGACACCCCTGCAGTTGCCCGACATGAAAGCAGCAGGACGACTGTCCCGGACTTGAGCAAAAGACAACCAAGCGGCATGCTGCTTTGCGTGCTACAAGCGACTTGAAAAAAATTTGTACGGGTGGCTTCAGAAGAAGGGCAAAGGAACCGGTGTCATTTTGTTTTATGAGCAGTTGGCCTTGCTGAGCTTGGCACACTGCATTTGCTGCAGGGCGGTTGGCGGCCACCTGTGGGCTGGAAGGCAGGGGGGAGGGATGGACAGTGGGGGCCTGCTGAGCTCCGCAAACCTGGTGGAGTACAAAGACTACTGGGAGACGCTGAATGCGCTGCTGAAGCAGGTGGTGACGATCGTGGATGGGTTGGCCGGCGGGGCAGACGTCCAGGAGGCCAAGGCGAGGCCCGTTGTGGATGCGCTGGAGCAGCTGCTGGCGCGGGCCAGGGACCAGAGGGCCAAGGGCAAGGGGCTGGTCAAGAACCCATTGCTGAGGTGGAAGCTCGTGCAGAATTTGGATACGCTGAGGGACAGGGTGCGGACCGTGGTGGAGAGGGCGGAGGAGGGGGGGGAATGGAGCGATGTGATGTTGGACAGGGTCAGGGGGTTGGTGGGGGAGCTCTCCGGGGAGCTGGTGGAGGTCATGGAGCAGGGAACACCATTGCTGCTGCCGATGCCCTCGCGGTTCGTGGTGGGGATCGAGCGGCATGTGGACGCGATGAAGGAGCTGTTGCTCAGGAGCGCAGAGGTGAGGGACATGTACGGTGGCCGGGTGGGCGTGGTGGGCATGGGCGGTGCCGGGAAGACCCTGCTGGTGAACACCATCTGTCGGGACGACGAGATCCTGGACAAGTTCCGGGGAATATCATGCGTGACTGTAACCAGCAGCCCAGACGTGTTGCGCTGCCAGGCCCAAATGCATCGGGACCTGCTCGGGGATGGCACATTGGACCAGTTTATGGCGGAGGAGGATGAGGTGAAGCGCAAGGAGTGGCTGCGGTTCGAGCTGCAGCACCAGAGGGTGCTGCTGGTGCTGGACGAGGTGTGGTGCAAGAAGATAAGCGACCTGGACAGCCTGATGGTGATCAACCCGAACAACGGCAGCAGGGTTCTGTTCACCACACGGGGCTCGCACCTGTTCCGCCAAACTGGCTCTGGCTACAAGTATGAGCTTGGGGAGATGCTGCACGAGCACGCGATGCAGCTGTTCTGCCACAACGCGTTCGGCACCCCAAAGGCCCCCGGACACATGAGCGGGCTGGTGGCCCAGGTCGTGAACGAGTGCGGCGGGCTGCCGCTGGCGTTGGAGGTCACGGGAGCGGCCGTGGCGTCCTACGCCGTGGACAACACCGATGAGGACGGCTGCAGGGGTGCCCTGGAATTCGCCCTGGAGAGGCTGGCAGAGTCTGAGGTGCTGAGTTTGGACCAGGAGGAGCTGCTTTTGCGGCGTCTCAGGCTCAGCTACGACGCCCTGTCTGCCAGGGAGAAGGACTGCTTCCTGCACTTCGCCTCGGTCGCTGACGACTACCGAATGCTCCTGTCGGATGTCATCGACCTGTGGTCCGCAGCGCAGGGGATCAAGAGCAACGATGCGCTGATGATCTGGGGCCAGCTGGTGGCCATGTCGCTGGTGAAATGGGACCGCCAGGGGGCCCCTGGGTTCCAGCTAACCGACGAGGAGCTGGCGATGAGGTTCTCAGGCTTTGCGGACATTTTTTCCACCACCTGCTATGTGCACCGCGTGATGCGGGACATGGCGATGTTCATAATCAATGGGGATGAGGCATCCAAGCGCCAGCGCTGGTATAGCCCGGGACCGGAGCCCCGCCTGGAGGAGGTGTTCTTCCAGTGGCCAGCGGACATTCCTGGCAGGTGGGCAGACATGTGCTGGTTGGTGTGACTCTTGTGTGGGCTGGAGGGTGACTGGGAGGAAGCACGGTTGCCATTTTCTTGATTTCTTGGGTTAGCTCAAAGTGCTACACCACATTTGAGAGTTGTGGTGCACCACCCTAGGGGAAGGGACGTGGGCCTTGTGTCACCTCACGAGTGAGTGCAAATTGATGCAAGAGGTGCCCAAATAACAAACAAGTAAAGCTGCATGAGTAAACGCTGCCCAAGGGTTGATTGTATGGGGATGGAAATGCACAATCTCAAAGAAGGAAACTCAGAACTACGGCAATCCCTATGTTATTCCAAAGCATTGCACCACAACTCTTCATTCCAAAATTGTGTGTTGTTCCGAAACAGTGTATACAGTGACGAGCTGTTGCTGCAAGTGAAGCTGTAAGTAGCTGCACCAGAAAGAAAGTGTAACATCTTCTTCCCACGTCCCAGACTGCAAACAGGTGTGGTGTTTGTGCCCAGCTGATGAGTCCGGTGCTTATTGTTGCTGTGGAGGTCTGAGATTTGCTAGATCTGAGGATGACGTTGTTGCAGACAATCAAAACTTGGGACAAGTCATCAGCAGTGTCATCATTCAAAAGCAAAACAAGGCATGACTAACATGTTCTGCCAAGCAGTGCAGGAGTACACAAATTCTTCTACACAACTGTAGCCGACTGTGCTGTTTATGGCAACTGCCTCTGCCACTGTCATTGTTACTTGATACTGTTCCACTGTAACCACCATCATCATGGCCATGACTTGCATTCAAATTGGCTATTGGTTGTTTCCTCACCAGGGAGATGTCCCTGTCCAACAAGAAGATCACGAGCTGGCCCCAGGCCGTTCGCATGCCCAACATGCGCGTCCTCCAGCTCCGCGACACCGCCCTCATGTTCGCGCCCTCTGGCGTGTGCCTGCTCACCCAGCTCCGGGTCCTGGACCTCAGCTTCACCAACATCACGAACCTGCCCGAGGGCATCACCAACCTCAAGGCCCTCAGGCTGCTGCAGCTCGATGCCTGCAAGCACCTGAGCACCCTCCCCGACCAGATCGGCGTCATGGCAGACCTCGCCACGCTGTCGCTCCGATTCTGCGGCCGCCTGCGCCACCTTCCCGAGTCCATTGGCTGCCTTGGGGGTCTGCAGTCACTGCACGCTCCCGGCTGTGCATTCAAGGCCCTGCCTGGAACCTTGGGCCGCCTACGACGGCTGCGCCGCCTGGACCTCAGCTCCTGTGAGAGGATCGCCGAGCTGCCCACCAGTTTGAGCACCCTGTCCAGTCTCGAGCTGCTGAACCTGTATGGCCTGTGGGAGCTCCATGAGCTGCCTGACTGCTTCGCGGGGCTGTCCAGGCTCAGGAAACTTTTTGTGGGGGGATGCCTGAAGTTGAAGGGGCTGCCGGAGTCGCTGACGACGCTCACGCAGCTGGACCTGCTGGACTTGCAGTACTGCTGCTCGATCGAAGCGCTGCCGTCAGAGATCGGTGGGCTGTGTGGGCTGAGGACGCTGTACCTGGATTACTGCTCAGGCAAGGACTTGGTCTTTTGTGTTGGGCTTTTGTGCGCTGTTGATTTGTTATTGCCATGGTGCTCATAATATTCACAATTATGGCATTATTACAGCTGTAATAATTAGACTCATTATTGATACTTCAGCTACATCGCCGACGAAAAATTTGCTGATTGTGTTGATTTTGACTTCCGTGCAGGAAGGACCGAGCATCATCAGAAAAAATACGCTGATACAGTAATGCCAATTTCTCAATGCCTGTCACGTTATGGCTTCTCAAGAGGAAGAATGTATCTTTCATTCATTTTGGTTCTAAATTAGGTGATTTAATGACCTTTAATCGTTACATAGTGAAGCTGCCTTGTGACCTTGGATCAGCAGTGGCATGTGCAACAGCCAGCACATCCATTCTCCGCTTTGCGAAATGTCCACATTTACTCAATTGCCCTCTCTTCCCCCTTGTTTCGCTGCTTGTTGCTTTCATCCCATTGTGCTTGCTGTTCTTCAGCATTCTCTTTCTTTGCTTTGTTCCCACTGCACAGGCCTGCAATCGTTCCCCGAATCCATGGACCGCCTCACCAGCCTTGAGATCCTGGGCCTGGACTTCCGCTCCGTGAAGCACAAGCACTCCACGCAACACCTGGAAGGCCCCGGTGTTGACTGCTATCTCAACCGCGGCAGGCTGCCCGGCGGAATCGTCGAGCGCGTCCGAACGGGAACCATCAAAATCGAAGATCAGCTTCGGGAGCAGTCAATCGTCCACTGCTGGAAGACCAATGGCTGGACATCGCTGCATGCTTCGGTTTTCCAGGGGACAGGGGTGCTGGCCAAGCAGGTCGCCAACCTGAGGGAGCTCATCAACACAGGGGACTGGAAGGGGTCCACGCCGCTGCACTGGGCCGCCTGGTCCAACAAGGTGGAGGCGGTGGGGCTGCTGCTGGGCGCCGGGGCCGTGCCTGATGCGCAGGAGAGGAATGGGTGCACGCCGCTGCACCGGGCGGCAGCCAAGGGTTCCGGGGCGTGCGTGGGGGCGCTGCTCAGGGCAGGCGCCCAGATAGACGTGCAGGAGGAGGTGAGGGAGTCGGCCTCATGGTCTTGTGAAAACACTCTTTTGACGCATTAAGTAAAACTTTTGATGAACATTTTTTTGACATTTTCTGCACTTTCTGCAATTTTTATTTAACTGATGCTTCATGTGCCTTTGTGCACTTTTTAAGAGTGTTCTTAGATTGAGCAGAGTAAGTAGGGAGTTGAACCTTGGCGATTGTGAGGCAAGGTGAAGTCTTTGCCTTGCCTCTCGGTCGTTCACGTTTCGATTACAAATTGAAATGCATGCAAGCACTCTTGAGATAAACAAGCAGCTGCAGACGTTGACGGGCATGTGTGGGAATGGAGGTTGCAGAATCTGTGAATGAATGACAGTGAATAGTGCCAACAGCACATAGCCACAAGAGTGGTAACAATAAAGGCTGTCACAGCAACAGAAGTTCATGGAAACGATAATGATGATAAGGACTGGTTGAATGGGCATGAGCTGAAATTGTTAGAAATATTGCAAGCACTGCCTTGGCACAGTGGATGTTGTGGAAAAGCCGTTCAAGGGCCAGTATTTCACCGCACTTGCTTGTACTTGCTTGTGCATGGACTGTCCAAGTGCATTGTTTCCACTGCATTTTGGCTTCTTGTGCTGATTGTGCAGACCATTGTAGATTTATCGACCCTCCACTTTCACACCTTTAATTCCTGGGAACTGTTTCTAACATTTATTTTTTGGTGCATATCTTGATTTTACTGTTTGTTGTCTTAAAGATTTAACTATGGTTGAAAAGGGGAATCAGAAGTGAGTAAATTATATCCGCCATTGAACACATGTTTCAGCATGGCTATGCCCATTGACTTTGCGCAGTTCTGATGATGATGCACAGCACTGCACTCATGAACGAGCGTTAGATAACATGAAAAGTTGCATATTGTGTGAATGAATGACTTGTGGATCAATTGAAGAAACAAAGAACACATGTGCTATCACAGGTTCATTGTTGCGTGGTTTGAATTGTAGGCGTGTAAATAAACAGATGTTTAAATACCTGAATATGTTGCTACATCTGCTGCAATGTATTATAAATTTTATGACGAATTTGCTCTTGGAATGGCAAGCTTGGTCCCAGCACTTTGGAGGCGTTGCCAGGAATTATCCAGTATAGCATAAATAAAGGTAAACATGACACGATAGACAACATGAATAGAAAACACACCAGTGTCGCTGATGTGCTGGCCTTCAAGTTGATCCACTGACTCAAAGTATGCCACACCATGGCTTCTGGAGATCGGCTTCACGGCTCTTCACTGCGCCGCTGAAAACGGCAGGAAGGAGGTCGTGGATCTACTGGTGACTAATGGGGCGGTGCTCGACCTGGTGACAAAGGTGTGGAACGAATGGGACGCATGTCGTCCGGCACATGAATGCTGAACCAACATTTTTCTGTAGTTTTCTGTATTATTTGTATTTATGCATTTTATTTGCACACTGGAGTTGTTAGGTGTTATTGCTTTATTTATTCTTTTGCTTGTGTATTGTATGTTGGTGTGAGTTTGTGTATACTGTTGGGGGAACCAGATTATATGGTGGCTCAAGCGAAAGAGTTTCTCCTTCCCATGCCTCTCAGGTCTGTTGAATGAATGTTGCATTGACTTGATTGCTTTCAAGTTGATCAGATATTCAGATTGCTGTACATCTGTTCCTGGAACGGAAGCAGTCTGCGATTGTGACCAGCAGCTTGCTGGCCATGCGTACGCATATTTCATGTGTCTACAGACATATGTTTGATTGTATACGGACCTGAATGTGCTCTGTTTTTGCGCATGTTTGATTGTGCACAGACGTAAATTTGCTTGTGTTCACAATGGTTTTTGCGATTAGGATGGCTTCACGTCTCTCCATGTTGCGGCGCAAAATGGCCACGAAGAAGTTGTGAGAACACTGTTCGAACATGGTGCTGCAGCGGACCTCATCACAAAGGTGGGGATTACCTCGACAGGTGCCACAAGTGGCCAACAGATACTTCCTCCATCCCAAATTAAATTGCAGATATAAACTGTGGCCCCATAAGACCTACTGAGACATCTCAGATTTTCATCAAAATTTGTCACACTGTTGTAATTTGAGTCTAGTTTGTGCCCCCAAAATTTGAGTCAATCGGCAAAGTATTCAATACGCAGGGACATTTTGAACAGATGCCACTCAGACAAGTTTTCCAAGGTGGCTCCGAGATGGCCTGTTTTCAGGCCATGGACCATGCCACCTTGCAATGGCCCCCATCATGCAAAGTGATGGGATTGAAATATGCATCACCAATAGGTTAGAGCGGAGATACAAGAGTGGAGGGTTGGCCGCCAGCTCATCCCAAAAGGCGTTATCAGGGATCTCGCCCATCTCTTAACTTTGTCACCATTCCTTGAATTTTGTGCCCGTTGTGCAGTAAGATCTCTTTACTCTCACTGTAAACTGGTCCCACCATGTTTTAGGACGTCCGCAGTTCCCTTGTTGTCTGCGGAACCAATTCGTTCCTGCAGGATCGTCGATCGCATTCCGGAATCGCTTACCAATGATCTCAATTGTTTGGCACCAAGTCACGAATCTAAGGGCGACATCTTCGATCACGCCTTTTGGGATGTGCCAGTGGCGTGCCCTCCACATCTATATCCCTCCTGCAACCTGCTATTTGAACTGCGCCTCCAACTCTCATCACTTTGTGCAGTGGGAGCCGCCGCAAGGTGGCATGGTCTAGGGTTCCAAAAACAGGCGGCTTCGCCACCACCTTAGAAACGGGGGTGTTCTCAGAAAAACGGTGTTTGTACAAAATGCCACTACAGATTGAATACTTAGACGATTGAATCAAACAGTTGGCAGCAAAAACTGGACTTAAATTACAGTAATTTGGCAAATTTTGACGAAAATCTGAGATGTTTTAGTAGGTTTTCTAGCGCCACAGTTCATAACTGCAATTACATATATTTGGGATGAGGAAGTAGTGTGAATGGACGCGAGACATAATGCATTCTTGGATGTATACCTGTCTGATAATTGCCTACAGTGCACAAGGGCACCGCAGTGTCTTGTCAAAGGCTGATGTGAAGGATTATTGCCTACTCTGGTTCCCCATACACATATACTCCAGTCACGTTCAGAATCGTAGCAAGAAAACCAACGAACGTGATTTGCGAAACTGTGGCAAGACCTATTCTGACTGATGGGTGGAGCTTCAGATCATCGGTCAGTGGCGTTTTTGTAGGGGTCTGCAAGGATCCGCATTCGTTGGCAGTGGACACCCCCCTGACCTCACAGTATAAGAACATGCTCAAGTGCACAAGTCTCATGGTTTGGGAATCAGCTGAGAATGTGCTGTGTCTGCCCATCATGACTGGAGGGCTGGACTATGACTCTGACATTGACATTGGCGAAGGGGCAGGATTTGACTGTGACTTGACTTTGACAATGCCATCAGAAAGGGGCGACCTCCTTGCACCTGGCTGCAAAGAATGGCCACACCAGTGTGGTGGACTTGCTCCTCAGGAATGGCGCAACAGTGGACATCGTCACACAGGTGGGGAGAATCTTTCCACCTCACATGCCTAATGGACTTTATAAACTAAGATCTGTTCTTTTGCAGCAGGAGCGGAGAGATTTCGGGCAGTGGGCACCCTGCTCTTCCACCAACAGTATTGCTGGGACTGTTTTCTGTGCTGTGCGATTGTGCATAAAGTGTTTGTACGTTTTTGAGAGGCATGCGGTTCAGCAAGTCACAACAAGGGATGTACTCAGGGGGCCCCTATGAGCAGGGGTGTGGAAGTGTGTACGGCCAATAGCAGATCAGGCATATAGAGCTTGCCCATTGCACCCAGCAACGACTGTGCCATGAACAGTGTGCATTCAAAGAAAAGAAGACTCTCATCGAGGCCATGAACAATGCTCCGTGCGCCAGTTGTATGTGCTGGGTTTTGCTAGTGCCCTTGTCGTCGGCAAGTCAATTGCTAGAATTTCCAGCAAGTTGTGCTGAATTGTGTCTTGTAAAATACGTTTGACTGGCAATCTACTGTGTACAATCTGCTACCACTTGCTCCGTCACTGTACTCGCATTGTTTGCAACTGCATCAGGCCACAAATTTTTGTTCGCAGTTGCAGATAAATTATATTTGTAGCTTTGGATGCATCCCCAATCCCCCCCCTCCCCCCCTTCCTGCTGCTTTAATTTATCACTCCATTTTTCTGTTTCTTCTGTGCTTGTCGCTGAGTCGTTTTGCGTGTTGCTGGACAGAATGGCAGCACGCCTCTGACGTTTGCAGCCGAGAATGGGCACAGGGACGTCATCAAGCTGCTGGTTGATCACAACTCGAATGTGGACCGCCAGAACAAGGTGTGGAAACCTAGGGGCTCGTTGCATGGTCCATGCAACAATTGTCTTGGCATTTGCCAAGACATTATTGGATATATTCTTTTCTAGCACCCTGTGGCTGCTGTAGTGAATCAGTTCAACAACAAAACAATAATGTATGTTTTGCACAGTCAAGTACGGCATAATCAGCAGTGCTTATCAGTGTAATCACTAGCATCAGCAACAAAATGTGCTGTCCTCTGTATCAAGCCAGCTGATCTTCCACTTGGGTCTGCCAAGTCGAATTTCAACCCCTGAGCAGGTCAGTGTTTTCACCCACCTTGCACCAGTCCACTTAGTGCAAGGCGATCCTGATGTGCTTTGTTCCATTAACTTGTCAGGAGTGGCTGCCCTCTGAATGTGTTGCTGTTTGCAGACCTGCACACATGCGTGCTCTCCTGCACACACGTCGCTGCCTCATGATCTATGTTCAGCAGCAATACTTGACATGACCAGTGTGTGGTGCTGTCACACATGCATGGGGGATGCATTCATTCATTCACTCTGCCAACAATTGAATTTAGATTGTCGTGTGCTTTTTCCGGGCAGCATGGATGGACGGCCCTCCACTGGGCTACTTTCATCGGGCACAGTGGGTGTGTGATGGCATTGTTGGAGGGCAAGGCAACAATTGACCTTCAGGAACAGGTTAGCAGTGAGTTCTTTTAAACGCACATGTTCAAATCCACAACCACTGCCTATGAGGCAACAAACGGCAATTTCTTTGCCACTTGTGTTTCATTCGCTGTTCATCGTAGCTGGGCAGTGCGCACTTCAAGTGTGTATCGAATTGTGAACAAACGCAGGTGCCATGCACAGGAGAGGTTCCAAATGCTCCTCTGTCCCTTTACATACAGACCAAGTTAATTTTAACAACCTGATGTGTGTGCTTGTGCCCTTGACGTAGTGCTTGTGTTGTGTGCTCCTCTTGTTGCACTGGAGACACGACAACATCCTCCCACCACATGCACAGAACCTCACACACCTGTGCTCATGAAGGGCTGTGTGTGACAGGTCACACGTACCAGGTCTGTTGCCTTGTTCTCTTTTCTTAACTTATCCCACCCCGCCTGCCTCCACAGGACAGATTCACAGCACTGCACTGCGCAGCACAGAACGGGCGTGCAGAGGTGGTGGAGATTCTCGTGCAGCATGGAGCCACCCTGGACATGGTCAACAAGGTAGAATCGACCAACAAATGTACATCCCTTTGATTGATGTGGCGGCATGCTGGCATGTGTCCATCCCATCAGCGCAACATGGTCCCCGAGTCACTGCAGAACGAATCCCATGCATTTACGTGGTGTAGATACTCTGTAAAGCCCGTTTCCACCGAACAAGCTATTCATCGATAGCACCCATCCGGGGAAGTGTGGTGTAAGGCTTAGTGCTTTGGTGCTCTGTTGTTCTTGGTATTGCACCACTTACTCACGAAACGGCATTCGATGCATGTTTGTCACGCTTCTCTTGAAAGAGCAGAGTGCTGTCTGTCTGTCGCTGCGCATTGCAGTTTGCAGCACCACGCTGGCAGGCGATATTTGTGGGAGCATTGTGCACATGTTATGTGTTGAACGCAGATCGTTTTAATGCTATCTTGCCAGTCTTCAACGAAGAAGTGGTTGGGAATTAACTGCATTCCAGGTATTTGCCAACCACTCCTTCCCGACAGGCTGGCACTTCCTGTTACTTTCCGAAAGTATCAAGGTTTGTACCACTGCCCCCCGAAGTGGTTAACGCAGTGTTACTGGTCGCGATGGGCCGACTTGCTGTTCGGCTTGCTTTCTGCTAGGAAGGTGCCACGCCCCTGCACTACGCGGCCAAGAACGGCCACAGGAGCGTGGTAGAGGTCCTGCTGCGCCACCACGCCTTGATGGACCTCGTGACACAGGTGACAACCAGTGTGCCCTACTTGACCGAGTATTGATGCTATTACTTGTCGTACTACTTGTCGCACTACTTACCCTGCTACTTACCCTGCTACTTATCCTGCTACTTGTGAGTACCTGCCGTATTACTCACCTTACTTTAAGTAGGATAATACCCGGGTGGTCCCGGGTACCGTATTTTATGAAATCCTGGGTACCCTGGTGAGGAATGTGGATGCCGGGTGTTGTCACAAGTGCGGACGGCAAGTGGCCACCCGTACCGCACCACTGAAGATCAGCGTGACTGCCACCTGGTCGCTGTGGGAAGGCGACCTGCATCATGCCTCCAGCCCCCTTGCTGCGAACGGAATCTTTGGCCACCAAGTTTATCAAGAACATTGGACGAAGTGCTGCTTTTGTTCTGGTCTGGCGACGTCAGGCGCTGGTGCCAGAAACGGAATAGAATTACATGACGATAACATAATGGTGGTAATTGTAAATGGATAGAATGAGCTCGATGGAAGGTGTTGGCGCGCAGACCCCGCGTGCCTGGCACAGTGCTGTGCTTGCCGCCTTGTGGCATGCGCCTTCCCCTGGCATCTGATCAGTTGCGCGTCGTCTTATGCGGTACAGAGAAGACTTCAGCTGAACGTCTTGGTCGGGCATACGCCCATTGTATGGCGTGCTCCTTGTCGCAGCAGAGAATCCTTTGACTAAGTCTGTCCAGCAGCCGGCTGGAGGTTCTGAGGGCCGAGTGACAGTCTGAGACTTTGTGGTGGACTACAGAATGTTAAGGCCCGCTTACGATCAACAATCAGTACACTGCTTGACTGCTGAGTATAGAGTTTCTATAGAGCATTGAAGCATGCGATGCTTCAACATTCCCTGCTGATTTCTATTCAGTTTCATTCGATTCACATTCAAGCTTTCTATTCAATTCATAGGTTAGTACATCGCACAGTCCATCGGGTCAGCCACTTAGGCGCCCGGTCGTGTTGGTGAAGATCTCAGCCTCAGTTGACATGGCCATACCCTAAAGGCAAAGTATTTAAAAGACTGGAGAGTCAGCGAAGTGCTGGGGCAGTAGTACATTCTCGTCCGTTGGACTGTGCGGTGCAGAAAAATGTCGCAGTTTTTGTGATGCTCATGCCTCTGTGTTCGCATTCTATGCAGAAAGGCGCAACCTGCCTTCACCTTGCGGCCATGGATGGCCACAGGGAAGTGGTGGAGCTTCTCATAGACCACCATGCCGAAATCAACCGCGTCACAAAGGTATGAAGCAGTGCATGATCGCGTTGGCGTGGAGTACTGAGCTGCTGTACTGGGTCGAGTATTGGAGCGCAGTACTTGGGCCAGCTGCAAGCTTTGGGGGCAAAGCATAACGATTGAATTGTCAAACAAAAGATGTAGATTGCAAGGCACGATATGGAAGACATCGCAGTTCTGGGCTGTAGCATTGACTAATGGACTGGGCTGGTGTCACAGAGATGAGGACCGTTTGGATATGTGCAATATCTTCTTACACAGACGCCCACATGCTGCAACTATTATGTTTACGACCATGCAATGGAATCTTGATTGTGTTTTTCTTGCAATCGTAGTATTGCAAAGTTTTACAATAGTGACAAGGTTATTGCCTATTTTTTTGCGGATTTGAAGACGAAAATATGCGTATTTATCTGTTAATTTGTTGATGTATTTGTTTATTGATTTGTTTGTATATTCACTTATTTATTTATGTATTTATATATTGTTTTTGTATTCATTTATCCAATATCGTTGCGTCTATTAATGAATTTTCATTCACTCATGTATTTGTTGGTCGGCCTGAAAATGTGGGATATGTGCAGGATGGTTGGACACCGCTAATGTATGCTGCCCAGAAAGGCCACGAACCTGTTGTCAGGTGCCTTCTGGAAAAGGGAGCAGAAGTCAACCACCAGAACAAGGTTGGTTGTGAAAATGCACTTCCATCAATTCTGTCACTGACAGAATCTTGACAAGATTGATGGTGTTGCACTGGGAAAAAGTGGTACATGCAAGTACTGTAAACTACTGAGCCACGTGCCACTTTGTCCCAAAAGTTCTTGAAGATTTTACCATGAATGGAGTTGGCAGTTTTGGCACTTGCATGTGCACTGCAGAGGTTTGGGTGTTTTTCTGCTCATGTTTGCTTTTTATTACTGTGCTGTTGTCATGTCAATTGCGTAGGTTTTGCTCCCAAGTTCCCGTTTTGCAGCTAATGGAACTGAATGATTTTGTCTTGATATTTTGACAGCAGCAAAGTTGTGGCTGATATTTTGTTGCAGGAAGAATGGCTTTGAAGTGTTGCTTTGATTCACGGTCTTGCAGTACTGCTTCTGAGTATTACTTTGAACTGTTGCTTCAAAACATTGTGCTACCAGTGATAGTGTGGATTAATCACAGCTGAATTATTGCGGTGCCATCGTTGTGGTCAGCATGGAAGCACGGCACTCACACTGGCCGCAGAGTTCTCTCCATATGGAGTGGCAAAGCTCTTGATCGAAAATGGCGCGAAGGTGGATGTTGCAACCAAGGTGCGGAATTGTGATCTGTGGTTGTGCAACAGAATGTGACACTGATGCCCTTACAAGGTGTGAGGCTCAGTACTTTCTGCCAGCACTTTGTGCTTTAGCTGCACCAGTGTGGCCCAAATGGTGTTTCCTCCAGGTTGGTGGGATCTTTCTATTTTTGTGATCGCCCGGGAGGCTCACGGGCTTCTTTTTTATTGGTTCTTTGTCAAAACTTCCATTCATGGAGTTTCTCATCTGAGCTGCGTGGTACTTTGGGTGTTGACTATGATAAAAAAAAGCTTGCAGCAAGTGTGAGCAGAAGTTGGGCATCCCTATGTTGAAATCTTCTTTGATTATACAATCTGGATTTATGTTTAATTGAAGTTTATATCACTAAATTGAGCCCACTTTGGATAGCCCACAAGAATTTTTTTGATGGCATTGAATCAGCAAATAGCTGGGTAAGTGAAGAATTGAGCAATTACATTTGTATTGTGGAGAGAGCACAGCCCAAGCAACAGTCACTTGGGTCGAGTGGCCGCCACTCGTCTTTGGTAAGTGGCAGCTTGATCTAACCCTCTTCTGAGTGTCTATTCGCTGCAGAATGGCTGGAATCCACTGACATTTGCAGCCAGACATGGCCACTTGGAGATGGTAGAGTTCCTGTCCCAGCATGGCGCTAACCTGAACCACCAGAACAAGGTAAGAAGAGGCAGTTTAGAGTGAACAGTGGGGTAGAGCTGTGACAGATACTGCTTCTGTACACTTCCAGTAGATACTTCTTCTAACAGCTGGTTTCAGCAGAAATCGGTAGACATTTCTGGCAGATGTTGCTGGCAGATGCTGTCGGCAGGAACTTCTGCTGTATACTGTTGAATATGGGATGTTTATCTGCTGCTGTGCATCAACAGTAGCTTTGTGACTGCTGATTGGCTGTCAAAGCTTTTGGTCTGTCAAGCTGCCAGCATCACACCTGTTCCTTGTGACAATTGAGAAACGATGCCGCAGCCATTTAGTGTGGCTCACCTTTAGGAAATTTTGGTACACTAGAGTACTATAAAGTACTAAACATGATACCACACATAGCACCCTCCAAAAACACTCGTCTTCTGCTGAAATCTCAGCCTATTTAAGAGCCTGGGTTAGCTGTTCGCTTTTTTTTGCATCGCTTTTCGTTGGTTCCAAACTATTATATCCATAAACACTGACACGTAATACAGCATTGGCATGCAAAAAAAAGCGATGGATGGATTGAGCATGAGTCTGGGCTAATATTCGGATGCCAATAGGCCCCGTGCCTGGAAGAATGTGGGACTCAGGCCCTCAAGTGCCCATCGACAGTGACACTTTGCCTGCCATTTTGTGTGCACAGGATGGCTGGACACCACTGACCTTTGCGGCCCACAATGGGCACAAGCATGTGGTCAGGTACCTTGTGCACAATGTGGCGAATGTGAACCACCAAGAGAAGGTCAGCCTTGAATCTCTCAGTGCCACCGGCAGTTTTCATTGACGTCAATGCATTCACTATGAGGACTCTTTGATGTCTCTTTGTTTCTTTTTGTTGTCAAATATAGCAGGCAGTGAAAGGCTATGCTATTGTAGATATGTCTATTATGCTGTTGTTATCCTCTGTCCTATCTTCATCACCTGTTTGTGCCATGCTTGGAGCATTTCCCATGCGTTTTCATCTCCATTTCTGAATTTCCATGTCTTTTACTCTGCTCCCATGCTCGGAATGTGCAGCATGGCTGGACGGCGCTGCACAAGGCCGCCTTCCATGGCGACCTTGAGTGCGCAAAGATCCTGCTGCAAGGTGCCGCTGTACTCGACATTCAAGAACAGGTGAGGCGTCTTGTACTGCTGGAATCCTGTCAACATTGTCCAACATTTGTGGCCCCTTGGTGGTGCTGACCATCCCTATGCAGTCATTTGTTGTTGGCTTGTGCTGTTGTGAGGTGTGTCTTCCCCCCTCACTGTGGGCATTGATGCACATCTAGTGCCTCAGCCTGTGCTTTCATGCAGCGATGCACAAGATGTGGTCAACTAGGTGCACCAGCCATTCTGGAACACTCAACTCCTATTGATGTGCACTGGTATTTGGGCCACATGCATTTTTGCAACACTTTCGCGCTTGGAGTTAGTTTCTCTGGCACAGGCTTTCATAAGGTGTTGCACATGGTGCCCATGCTTCTAGCCTAAATGCATTGCTGCCTCAGCTGCTGGAGTTTCGTGCTCCTTCCTTGCCTGGGTACAAACGAGCACGGGGTCATTCCGGGATCATTTTGCAATCATTCTGGGATCATTTTGCAATCATTCTGGGATCATTCTGGGGTTATCCTGGGATCATTCCGCTGTGTCGTGTTGTGTCCACCACCTGCAAGCTGCAAGGATCATGTATTGTGTCTGTGTGGACTTTGGTAAGAACTGCCAGGAGCATTGCAATGCAGCCAAGGGAACTGTGTGATATGTCTAGAATGGATTCTCTCCGCTGCATCACGCTGCTCAGAATGGCCACTACGAAGTCGCGCATCTGCTTGTGCAGCGCGGCGCAAAGGTCGATGAGATCAACAAGGTGCGAATTAGTGGTCCCAGGAAGCCGCGGAGGTGTTGTGTCATGCGTACCATGAGAATGTATGCTGATGGCGTTGCTCTTCGTGCCTGCAATCGCAACGAAAAAAAAAAAAAAAAAAACTGTCTGTGATCTGTGCTTATTGCCCCCACGATATCTGCAGCTCCAGATGTAGTGTGCCTGCTGGTCGGTAGCAATGGCTTTGATACTGTCATTCGTTTGAAGTATCCCACAATCCTCTTGAGAACATCTTAGATGTTTCCATCTATTTTCTATTGTGCAATTGTTGTCCACAGCAATGCCATGGCTTTCATGTGCCATGTCAGCGAAAATGGGCGCCAGAACGCCACTCCAGCTACCAAATACTTATACAAGAGTACCAAAGCATTTGTATCAATGCACCAAAGTATTTCGACCAAAGTACCAAAGCACTTGTACCAAATTTGAAGCACCAAGTACAAGTACTCAGTGCTAGCGCTGATTCTTGTGCTCACCCTGCCTGAAAAGGCATTCTTGGTGCCTTGCATGCCTGACTGGATTATTCGGTTTTTTAACTTGTGTACTCCAAAATGGTAAAATTTTAGTTCGCTTTAAAGAAAATGTCACACAGTTCTAAACAAAACTGTGTGCTGCTTGTCGTGTCATAGAACGGGTGGACAGCTCTGATGATTGCCGCCAGCAACGGTCACATGGACATTGTGGAGTGCCTCATGCGAAACGGGGCTGATGTCAACCATCAAGAAAAGGTCAGACAGACAAATTATCGAATTCACAGGAGGGCAAAACCTAAGCTGACCTGAACAGAGCTACAGTGAACCGGAAGTGTAATCATGGCCAGTGAATGTAATCAGGAACTGGTAGCCATAAGTAGATTGCTGAATAGAATGTGAAGAGTTAGAATACAGAAAACATGATGTTCAGCGTCAAGCAAACAAACAAGTGTACTCGGTGGACTTTGTGCTATTTCGCTGAGGATTGGCATTTATGGAGATGTGCAGCACAGGATGGAAATCCCTTTGCTGCTGCAGTGGCCTATATACTATGACCATTCGATAAAACAGCATCCGGCAGCCCTCAGCTTGCCAAGGCAGTTGAATTGTGCTGTACTTCACATAAGACTCCCTGGAATTTGCTGCATATGCTGAATGCATGAAATTTGGGCGCGTTTGTCGCAACCAATATTCTACTTCTACGCAGTACGATTCACTGAATTTGCTACTCCCAAGTGCTCGCCGCCCCTCGCTGTGCACGTGGCGCAGACAACAGTCCATCGCGGGGCGGTGTGGCGGACGGCTGCAGCAGTGTGGGGAAACACTTCTCAGGAATAGCGGCACAACGCGGTCCTGTGTGGTACTGAGATCCGTACCGCTGTTTTCTTGAAAAGCGTTGCTGGGCCGGTCGATTGAATCGCGCCTTGTTTCTGTCAGGATGGCTGGACGGCGCTCATGCTGGCCACCGAGAATGGGCACGAGGCCGTTGTCCGGTATCTGGTGGGCAACCGTGCCGACGTCGACCATCAGGAGAAGGTGAGTCACTGGAGAGTTTGATGTATTGGCTCCGGTTCTCTCTTTTCGTTCACTTTTAAAATGAGCGAAAGAATTAGTAACACTGTTTGATCTACTAGACGACGCGCTTTCTTATTCCAGAATGTGGGCGTGGGATGGGAATACCCGCCTGGCCGATCCCGGCATTCGCTCTTGGGGCGGTTTCATCGTGTGATGACGTAAGGGTTGCGTGGTTGGTGGCGTTGATGTGGTGGCGTTCACTTGTATTTGCAGCGAGGCTGGACCGCCCTGCACAAGGCCACGTTCGACGGCAACATCAAGTGCGCCGAGGTGCTGCTGGAAGCGGGGACGGCCATCGACATCCAAGAACAGGTGGGGCGCCACACTGGAAGCCTGGGTGCCCACTTGGCGGTCGGATGGTGAATGTCGCTGTTCTTGGAACACTGGGGGGGGAGGGTAGTACATTTCTCGGTAGATATTGTACTTATGGTATTAAAAGATAGTTATTGTACTATTAAAGGACACTTCATCGTATTAATTGTACTCATCAATATGTGTTTTGGTGACATCGCATGGAGCACCGACACAAGACTGTGTCGTGTCTCTGCTGCCTCGACAGCATCGAATTTCGCAGCCCGATGGAATACCAATTCACCCGGACAACGAAAGATCTGAAGCATGGCTTAGTCAATACTATGGCCAATGCTACTCAAAGTGCCGTTTTAATACTGTGTTATGACAAACTACCACCGTAGTCGGGCAGATTGGGTTTATGGCGAGCAGGCACTTTGTTGTTCCCTGGCCTTCACCTTGGTATTACCTTTGATTGTGTACCCTTCCGGGCTGACAGAAATGAGCGCCCTATATTATGTACTGCTCCACATGATGCACTGCATCAGTGGCGCACCAGTGTGCCAAATGTGAAACTGCTGGCGAGGAGGAACACAAGTGACATGGGCTCCATTCAAAGCCTTCCTTGGGCAATGAATCATCCTCCCTGTGCAGTTACGCTTTCTGGCAATCAGCAACTGGTGGCTGGTGGCCGTGTATTTCAATCTCCAGAAGCCCTCTTTGGCAAAGAGAGCGTAACTGGCAGTACCTGGCAACACCTAACAATATCCGATAATGCCTTGCAATGTCTCAATAACGGTATACATGGTCTTATGCATTGTAGCATAGATTGTTTATGTGTAGTATGTATGGTGGTATACATAGACTTTAATATGGTAGCCGGCATATCTGACAGCCTCTTGCAGTATTCAACACCACCTGACGATGGCTGGAATTGTCTGACTCATCTGGCAATGGGACAGTCATTCGAAAATACGTGATAATATGCGTATTTTGCCGTATTATTACTTTAACCCGTATACGTATTTCCCAAGCCGGGCAGGCTCCCTAGCATCCCGAATGGCGTTTGTGCATGGGGCCCAGCAAGCCAGCTCCGTTGAGCCGGAGGACACACGCCTCTGCTCAAGCCGCTGAAGGGTCCTATAGTTTCCCAGTTTTTCAAATTTGCAAGAAGTCACTTTGTCTGTGCTGTGCTGTGTGTCTGTGTTGCTCAGAACGGGTTCACGGCCTTGCATCACGCGGCGCAGAACGGCCACAGGGAGGTTGTCCACTTGCTGGTTATCCACGGGGCTGCAGTGGACGCGATGACCCAGGTACTTGTTGCCAGAAAGGCGTTTGATGTTTACGTGCGTGTGCAATGCTTTTCTGGAATAATCAGGAACAATTATTCAAGAAGTACTCCAAAGTACTTGGTCTTAGACCGCATTTGTCGAAACAGGGTGAACAACTTTTTGCATATGTTTCTTTTGTCTGCGTGCGTTTCAGATTTGTACGGCAGTGAGACTAGAGCTGGCCGCTGGTCACGTGAGCACCAGCCTCATGTCACAAACTATACATGTCATCTTATATTGTACTGCACATATTACATCATAATCATGCAATTATTGTATTGTTATATCATTCAATTATTCTGCATCACGAATACATTCGAATTGCATTTGTGTTACACATCGTATCATGAATCTCCTTGCCTGTGAGAAACCCAGCTTCTCTTCGTGGCGGAGCCCCAAGGGCCTGGTACCCTGCAAAGCCCCCTGGAACGCATGTGGTGAGGGTTGCCGCGAAGCATTATTTTTGGATTCCAAAGAATTTTATCACAGTTCAGCATAATATATTGGAAGCAATTGTCGCCCCAATTCCCAAAGGGGCTTATGTATTTTGGAAAAGAGATGCTTTGCAATGCAAGGGCAGTAGCCTGAGGGCGTTCTCTCTCTGCCGCGTGTGAGCGGGTCTCCACTTGCGTCCGCAATGGTTGTCGAGGTCATCTTGAACTTCATCCCCCGACAGGGGCCAGCGTTTGTTCGTCACTGGCACAATGGCATAAACAACGGCCAAGATGAAAACGTTTGATAGATGAACAGTAATTGTAAAACAATATGGATAGCAACACTGAAACGGCAAACAGTTGTCGACATAATGAAGCCATGACAAGTAGGTGAAGCGAATGCGGTTCACACTGCCGGTACACGAATCATAATTTGGCAATTCAAGCGATGTAAACAGGGAAGTCAATTGTAGGAAAAGAAGCGCGTGGAAATAAATCATTTGCTATGACACGAATCTGCTACTTTTATACTTGAATTGCTCAAGTTTGAAATGGCAGATTTGGATGTCAAGAGCACGATGGAAGTACTCAATCACAAGAGGAATGTGTCAGATTGCGCCGTTTAGCATAACCCAAGGAAAGCATGACTAATGGCACTGCAGGAAGGAGCTACGGCGCTACACTCGGCGGCGTACAACGGCCACAGGGGCGTCGTCAGCCAGCTGGTCGAGGATGGTGCTGACGTCAACGTGGTGACGAAGGTGGGCCCTTGTTCTTCTGGATTTGTCACAAAATGAGCCCAACACCTTTTTTGGCGGTGGAAATGTGTCGATTGAACGGCGCAGCGCGGGCTGGTGGGCTTTTGGTGGGCTGTCGCACAGCGCAATTGGATTTTTGTCGATTCCCGTCCGTTACATCACACTGCAGTGTCCAGGTGCCACCTCCTTTCCAACACAGCGCACACGAGCGTTGTGCAACCTAGCAAGAGAGTGCAGGGCAATGTGAAGCCCCCAAAGGTGTTTGCACCTCAAACTAGTGCTCAATCTCAAGAAGAGAAATTTGGTAGTCCGGGAGGCCTGTCTGGTCAGGAACCGTAGCAAATTTTATAGCTCTGTTTGCTCTGTCGAGCTGCTTGGAGAAGACGAATTGGACTATTTGTAATATTTGCAATAGTGCGTCGTTAGTTTATTCGTTATTGCCTGTGTTCAAGGAACATTTGTTTGTTCGGCTATCTGTTGCCAATGGAAATCCGATTGTAGTTTATCTAGTTATTTATTCATTCCTTATTTTTTTCAGTCATATTTTGTTTCAGGACGGTTGGACGCCGCTGATGTATGCTGCGCAGAAAGGCCACCTGCAGGTGGCGGCAACCTTCCTTGAAAGGGGGGCGGAGGTCAACCAACAAAACGAGGTGAGGCACAGGGGCACAGAACTCATCTTTAATGTGAGTTTAATCTTTAGCTTTTTCCAGAACGGTTTAGAATCTAGCATGATACGGGGGAAAAATCGCACAACGATATACTCTACTTTTGATGTTGTTTTGAATTTCCTTGGTAGTGAAATATTGTCCTTTGATCGTGCCTTGGACGATATAAAACGGCCCCCTTGCACCTTCCGGGCGACGCTGGGCATGTATGCACTCAATACTATGGCCCACGGCTCCATTCCCGCTTTGGGAGCATTCTTTCGCTCAAAACAGAGAAAGGGGAAGCCTAAAACTAGAACAAAAGCTCGCCATTCCCAGTGTGCTGTGACAAACAGCCAAACTCACATGTCGCAAGGCTCTCAAGTTAGCATAAGACTGGTCTGGTGGCAATTGGGGCCCGCCTGGGAGCCAGAACACCGGGCGTGGATGGAAAAATACGGGTCGGTTGCAGATACGCCCACTGTGTTGTCCCTCACTGACTCGCTGACACCATTCTGGCCTGGGGTCTTGATGTGCTCTGCACACTGTGAGTCTTACACTCACGGTGACGCCCCACCATTCAGGAGCACTGTCAACTCCCTTCTGTTTTGATCTCTTTACAAAAGGCCTATGCCAGCCAAAGGAAACGAACAAAGTGATGCAAGGTGTGTTTGTGTTGTTCAGCATGGCAGCACGGCGCTGACGCTTGCCGCGGAGTTTGCATCCTGCGACATGGCCCAGCTCCTGATCCGCAGATTTGCAAGGGTGGACATCGCAACCAAGGTGGACTTTTGAATGTGATACAGTATATAGCAATGAACGGACCTGCTGGGCCCAAGTCCCCATAGATTTTGGCGCCTTTTCCCTTGCCAAACTTTGTGTACAATTGCTGTTATCCAACTTGCACTGTTGTCTTCCACGAACAAAGCCTGGTAAGGCAGCTTTGTGGTTGTGTATTGAAACCCAAACTAATTTGTCGCTTGATTAGACTACGGTTCACAGTGAGAAGGCTACAGTGTTGCTTTTATGTAGAATTCGTTAATGCTCGTGTCAAGCATTGTTTGGCCTTGCCTCGCACGATTCAAGTTCTTCGTTTGTTACGCTCGTGGTGAGGGCTTACCGACGCACGAGTTTTCAGCAATCGGCAAGATTCGGTATCAAGAAGCACAAAATGGCGGAACTCTGCGATCTCAGTACACCTCTCTCCTCGAAACCTTGTGCATGGAGCTGCCATTTCGACTCCTGGATTCCTAATTTAGCAAACGAAATAATGAAGAACAAGTAAATGCAGGAATTCCAGGTTTGGCACGCTGTCCATCTTTTGCAGAATGGCTGGACGCCGCTGACTTTCGCTGCAAGGCGAGGGGCGGGGGACATCGTGGAGCTGCTGTCCAAAAACGGCGCCAACGTGAACCACCAGAACAAGGTAGGGCTGCGGTGGTGCTATATTTAGCATCTTTCAAGATGATGTGCGTTTAGATTGATAAATAATGAGGTGTAGATATTATAAATGATGCAACAAGATGAGGATATAATTTCACATGACAAGCCTGCAGCGCACGGAACAGCAACGCCCTTTCGCCTTTTGTTTTACTGTGTTTTGCCTTGGTATGCGACTCTTCTGGTTCTAGTTCTTTTGGCATTTTTCCCCTCCTTTGGTTCCAATAAAAGTGATTAAGTGTTGCTAGGACGGAGCTCTGCGCATTGTTCAATCTTATGTGCCACAAAAAAAGGCACAGGTGCAGAGCAGGGCAGCGCAGGAAGCTATGGAAGAGTACACTAACAATGCACTGAAAACACGCTGTAGACGTTGAAAACAGGAGGGCACTCCCTGCATTTGTGAAGGGCTGACGTCGTCGCTCGCTTCCACACGCATTTGGTTGCCAAGTGGAAGCTGCTGTCGCTCTGCGCTTGCAGCGCCTATGAGTCTTTGTCAGCTTGCACTGCTTCTGGGGAGTTGAGAGCGGTGTGGCAGCTCGCCACTGTTCGTTTTCCTGCCCTTACCACCGGAGAATGTTTGTTCATGCACCACACAGACGCCCGCCCCACTATCGCGCTCCCGTGCACAGCTCTCACACACACTTCCCTCACTTCCCTCGCGCTTCTCAGCACGTGCTGTGATTTCCGTTTGCTGAACTGTTGTTTCGTGGTCACCAGAACGGTTGGACGCCTCTGACATTTGCGGCAAGGCGCGGGCACATCGAGGTGGTCGACCTCTTGTTTAGATGTGGTGTCAATGTCAACCACCAGAACAAGGTGCGCCGTGTTTGGCATGCTGTGTGATCCTAATTCAAAGTCGGGGGCTGCGTTGTGGTGTGGGGTGACCTTCAGTACGCCCTTCATGTAGCAGCACAAAAGTGTGACATGCGTGCGTCACACTTCTTCACCCGTCAATGTGTTTGGCGGACAAAAGAAATGCTTTGGAAAGTCACACTGTGATTGCATTCATTGCGGGATATCGCCAGGTTGGTGAAGTGGCTTGCGTTGTCATGATGACAAGGCAGTGACATGTATTTGGTAATGCGTAAAACTCCGCAGATTCAGGCTCTGTTTGTGCGCCATAAATCTGAGACTTGATGATGACTGGCCCAACAGTGCAAAAGGAAATGCACCTACACGAGCTGGAAGAAATACCGGCACACATGTGCATGACACACTCTCCGCGGCTTGTGCTGTCTGCGAAACACTAGCAGAAAAAGGACCAAATAACCCTTTTTGCGAACACAAATATATGGGTGTCATCAGTATTCTCCATGTTCAAAAAACGAAAGTAGCGCAAACCCGTAAACTTTGTACACGTCTGAATACGTGTTATTTGGCCCTTTTTCCCCCAGTGGAAGTCCCTGAAACGTGCGCAATGCTGGCAGGCCATTCATTACCTGTCGTGTGTGCCAAAGAGTCTCGGTGTGCTTAAGGTAGCCTGAGTGGCGGCCTTCCACTCCGAAAGCTGAATGGGAAAAAATGAAAATGGAAAAATGGCGGCAGTGGGGTCCAAGCTATTGCCCCGTGGCTCACATAGCGATGCGGTACACCATTTTGTGCAATGCAGGATGGCTGGACTGCTCTCACATTCGCGGCCCACAACGGGCACAAGGACGTCGTCGACCGGCTGGTTCACAACGGCGCCAGGGTCGACCACCAGGAAAAGGTGGGAAGGTGACAAGTGTTCAGCGATGCATATGCAGTCCGCTACACGGCTGTGTCAGTCTTTTTGGAGGATGCACATGACACACCCTTTGAGGAGAAGTGGTACAAGCAAGTATGTAAAGCAAAGAGTAAGTTTTTCACTAAACAGGGATTAATTATGTTTATTAAACTCTACCTACCAAAGTAAATTAAATTGCGCATGGATAACGAAAGTAAACATGGATATTTACTAATTATTTTTGAAGGGATCCACATCCTTGCAGACGGCGAAACGTGAGCATGGCGGCGAAAGCAGACGGTGATACACAGGCGCAGATTGTGCATCCATTCATTACAATGAATGGACTAATTGGTACAAGCTTGTATTCCCTGTACTAACTATGTGATGTGATTGTGTGATAGACTAATTTGTACAAGGTTCTGTTCCCATTGTTTTCTCATTTTTGGTTGCTCCTGACTCAGAAGCTGTGGCCAGTGGGTCGACCATCTCGGAAAGACAGCGGTTCTCGTTTCTCACCGTGCGTTTTTGCTTGCGGCGTTTGCAGCACGGCTGGACGGCCCTGCACAAGGCGTCTTGCCACGGCGACGGCGAATGCGTGAAGGTTTTGCTCGACGGAGCAGCATCCGTTGACGTCAAAAACGATGTGAGTGGATTATGCGCAGTGTCTTTCACGCTTGTAAATGTGCAGATTTAAAGAAATCCTAAATCATATCTGCCATTCCTTCTCGGGGCGAAACAGGCTCATTGCACCTTAGGGAGACGGCCACGCGTCATTAAGAGGTAGAAATATTAATTGAAGGATTAAAATATAATAATATATGTAAACGTCGGGAGTTTTGGAACTCACTGTTCAGTGGGATCTTTCTCGCTAATGCGGAATCTGCTGTTCTCCATGTCATGATGTTCGTTTCGCACCCCCACCGTTTTCAGATTCAGAACGCTGTTTTCAAACTGGAATTCGCGTGCGTTTGCAGAACCAATGGACCGCCCTGACGATTGCGGCCAGCAACGGCCACCGGCGAGTCGTGGAGCTGCTGCTGGAGAGCGGGGCGGATGTCAACCACCAGGAAAAGGTGCGGGCTGCGGAGTCGATGTCATTGGCGTTTTGTTTTTTCCCTTCCTGTTCGGCCATTTCTTTTTTTCCCTTTTTAGCCCTTTCTTTTTTCCGATATTGTCCTGTTGTCGATTGCTCCACCACGCCTTTGTTCAGCATTTCCGATCCGTTGATGTATTTCAAAACGGTTGGAATAATTTCAACTAATTGACAGCAACGCCGCTTGAGCTGCGGCATGTGTCGCGTTTGTGATATTGTTCTTGTGACGTGCCGGTTGGTCCGTTCTTCGTTTGCCCAACATTGCAAGATCCTTACACACTCTTCGGCAAGCCAATGCAGGCAAAGGACGCGAATGCGCAGGGTCATACGACGTGACCAGAGTGCCGTTTTCCACGCTCTCGTATTGGATGCATACATGCGCGCATTTGTTCATTTCTTAGCTCACTCGCCTATTCATTCTTTTACCTGCTCGCGCATGCCGCCCCTTGAATTTTGTTGAGCTGATGGCATTCCTCACAGGACCAATGGACGGCCTTGATGCTCGCCACCGAAAACAACCACAGGGACGTGGTCGAGTGCCTGATCAAGGCTGGGGCCAACGTCAACCACCAGGAGAAGGTGCGTTCTGCGCGGTCCCCAGAGCCTGGCCAAACGATATTCTAGTACTATGTATGTAATACATTCTGTATGTATATAATACTAGCAGTATTGACGCAGTTGTATTGGCAACACAATGTATAACACCCTGGGCTGAAGCGAAAACTACCAAAGGGTGTAGTACGCCTTTTGGTTATGTCAGTTTAG